GACATTTAGAGTTTTATTTATAATTATAGCAAACTTACACAGTCATTTTCACTACATTTGTTTAATTCCAGTGCGGCTAAAGCTTGTAGATCTCTAATCATTTGATCTTACAAGTTTCACCCAAATAATAAAGCATCAGTGCGGAAGTAATGTGAGAGAGAGAGAGAGAGAGAGAGAGAGAAAGAGAGAGAGTGTGTGTGTGTGTGTGTGTGTGTGTGTGTGTGTGTGTGTGTGTGTGTGTGTGTGTGTGTTTTTGATAGTGTGTGTGTGTGTCTGAAAAAAGGGGTAAAATGCTATGTGTGTGTGTGTGTGTGTGTGCGTGTGTAAAAGTGAAAAAGTGTGCATGTATGTGTTTGAGAGAGTGTGTGTCAGTGTGTGTCTGAAAAATAGAATCAGCCAAAATTGCAGTAATACAATGACTATAGTGTAGTGTGAGAAAAGTGTGTTTGTGTGTGAAAAGCATGTGTGTGGGTACTTTATAAATACCTGAGGACTCTTTTTTTTTTTTTAATAATATTGGGTTATCAACGTATACATATTCTGTACGGATGTTTTATGTTTCTATTTTATTTAATTTATTTATTTTTTATTCTATTAATTTGTTTATTTAATATAATTTATTCATTTTCTTTAATTAATTGCTTTTATTTATTTATTTGTTGATTTATTGTTATTATCATGAGCATTTTTTTTCTTTCTTGAAATGATAAATGTAATTTCAGCTTGGGTAAGGTGGGAAAAATATTTGTTTAAATTTCTTTGTAAAAATACTTTGTTATATCTGTAAAAGTTTAATAAACAAATTAAAAAACAAAAAAGAAAATCATGTGTATGTTTGAGAGAGAGAGAGGGAGATTGTTGGTGTGTGTCTGTAAGTGTGTCTGTGTGTATGAGACAAAGTTTGTGGGAGTAAATAAGAGTGTGTGTGTGAGAGAGAGATCGAAAAAGAGAGTGATTAAAGTGTGCTAGAAAGAAAAAGTGTGTGTGTGAGAGAGAAACAAAAGTGTGTGTGGGTGTGTGTGTGTGTGTGTGTGTTCAGTCAGTCAGAGGTAAGTAGTTTATTTCAGAGCTTCTCATTTTGCACTTCTCCAGTGTTTCTCAGTTTGCTTAAGTTATAGTTTGTCTTTCACTTCTGCTTCTGTCCTTCAGCTACTGAACTGTGTAACTTTTGCTCTCATTCACATATTATCCTATGACAGTATTTGCATGATCGTGAACACTTGTTTGTACAGTAGTAGTTTGACCATTACTCTGTTTATTGTTCCTGGTGATTTCTCTCATAGGTAAACCAATCAGAAGTTGTAAATCAATCACAGAAAGCTGGTTTATCCTCCATTATTGCTGATATCAGTGATACAGTATGTTGGCATCAATCATCTCTGTCATGTTTATTTTAAAGCACCATTTATTTGCACAATACATTGCATAAAAACATTTAAACTTTACAAATATACAGAGAAATAAATATATTAAACACTATAAGGAGAACAAGTCAAATTACTTATACTATTGATTTTAAAAAAATACACATTTTATTGCAGTTTCATTTATATAAAAATGTTTTATTCAGTGATTGTTTAATTTTATTTAGATTTTACCCATAAAGACTGGATTATGCATAGAATTATTATATGCAAATAAAAAGCTGTCATTAAATCGAATATGTTTTGAATATTAGACAATTTTTGTATTGTAATTTGTATTTAACCCTAATATTACTAATATTTATATTTAACCTGTTTAATATTTTTATTATTACTAATAAGTAAATTTGACATATGTTTAAAACCTTCAATATCACTATATGTAAATTTAGCCTATGTTTAATCGCATTAATATTACTAATATGTTTCTTTAATATAAATATAAAATCTCAATTTTCAAAAAGAAAACTCTAGGAAAAGAGTAAAGTAAAAAAAAGAGAATATATATATATATATGTATACATATATATATATATATATATATTTATTTATTTATTTATTTATTTTATTTTTTGAAAAAAATAAGTGCTAAAAAATTTCCTATATTTATATATATTAAATATATATTTTTCCTAAATCTATTTCTTATATTTAAATGCAGCATTTCACAGCTGTATGTCACCAACACTGTCAGATATTAATGAAAATTTTTGTAAAAAAATTTAAGGAAAAAATAAATCTGTCTTTATCATATCAAAGTGATGTGCATAATAATTATTTAAAGATACTAATAAAATAAATATGTTTTCAATGGAATGTAAAGATATTAATGTACAGTACACACAGCAATAAAAATAATCCCTGCACATGTTGTTTTTAGAAAAAGGGTTTGTATGTGAAAGTGCAATTGATGATGATGACGCTCACAGATGATGTGCAACAGACAACAACACTGAATAATGACATGTTTCTCCACTGCTGATCTGCTGAGATAATATCATAGTAATAATCCTATAGTATTTCTGACTTGTTTTTAATCTAAATATCTAAAAAATCTGAAATCAAGAAGCATTTTCAAGGCAAGCAAGAAATATTGTGTTGTTTTCAGAACTAATGAGTCAAACTTAAGTGCATTTTTCTTTAAAACAATCAAAATAGTGAATATTTTGGGGATGTCGTAATATTAATGGTTTTGGAAAGACAATCATAACATTTTAGAAAAGATCTCACATCAAATTGATGTCAGCTTTGAGGTGCTTTATTTGGGTAAGCTGTGTATATATTTATAAAGTCATCCTTCAAGTATTATAAACTATTATTAGATGCTGATATAAGGCTAATTGATCACCAATGCAAGATTAGATTGACATTTTGAAAAATATATTCATTTTGGGGAAAATGCATAACTAAAAACATGCATGTGTTGACGTTTGGTCCAACTGGATTGAGTGCATCACTCCCATTCAACCTAATGTATTTCTGCTATAAGCAGGGTGCGAATTACAGGGGGGATTGACCCCCTTAATTAACTTTGATCCCCCTGAAGGACGACACATCAAGATGTATGTTGAGTCAGCCTGTTATTAGTAGGAATTCGTTGTCTCCGATGTGTATCTTTAATAGTTATATTGATCATTAAAATAATAGATGGTATCAATGTACACTTGACCACCCCTGTAACGGTTTATACCATTGTGAACGCGCACCCGCGCCACTATGCGAGAAGACGTTCATTCAATCAACAGTTTGAAACCGGCAGCTCAACAGCACCGAGAGACACCGTAAGTGTTCACAAGACACTTTACTCGTAAAATAAGTGTTTGTATCTACATACAGATTGAAAGTAAAGTCAAATTAGAGGGACAGTTTGTATAATTTGACACTAATTACACAAACTAACATTACCGGAAGATTCAACCCCCGCAATCGGCAATATAGGCTAATTCGCAGCCTGGTGTGTTTTTAATGTAAATATTGCTTTCACACACTCTTTCTTCTGTAAATATTTTTGGTTTAAATCATATAATGCAAAGGGATAGGGAAGAGTGAGGACAAAAGTACAATTTTTCATATAAAGCTATTTTTAAAATATGTTTTAGACAGAATATATCTACATTTGTTAGTTACTGACTCATAAATGTGCTCGGTCAATATCAGGTGGTATTTTGAACAAATGTAGAACTACTTCAAAATAATTGTATTAATTATTAACAAAATAAAACTAATTATTAACAAAATAATTTCACTTTAAACATAAATCACACATTTTGAACCCATTATATGAAGGTAACACATTTGTGGCTCAAAAGTAGCACATTTGCTATATTAATTATTTATATATTTATAATATATGTTTATTATTTTAAATATATCTGACCTTATCTGCAAACATATTTAGTTTTTTATTTTTTCCAAAAAATATAAAACTGTTTTCATTTTAAGTTTACTTTCATCAGATGTTTTAAAAGCAATCTAACAATGTAAAATTTTATACGATTGAGGATTATTATTTTTTTTTACTATTATTATTATTGGCAAAATGCATTAATTTGATAAAACTTCTGAATCCAAACTACAATATGGAAGTGAAATAAGGTATGGCTTTTGTGCTTTTGTAGTGAGACATAAATAGCAGTGTTATTGTCGTCCCCACATTTACTTTTAAACTAAAAAACTCAGAGATTGCAGACTTAAGGGTGTGTTATTGCACTAAATAACCTGTAGATTGATCATCAGTGTGATGCATTAAAAGAGAAACACAACTTGTAATAAGAAAACAAAATGAAGGGCTTCAATAGTTTACTTTCTGGACTTAAGAACTGAGATACAGACTTATTACGACACCATAAAACACTTTAAAACTATCAATTTGAAATAAACTAGGATATTAAATAAGAGATAGAATAAAACAGAAAAAGCTTATCTATATACACTCACCGGCCACTTTATTAGGTACACCGGTCTAACTGCACGTTAATGCAAAAATGGTATGGGGGAGATTTGGTACACTTTAGACTCATTAGTGCCAATTGAGCATTGTGTCAACGCCACAGCCTACCTGAGTATTGTTGCTGACCATGTCCATCCCTTTATGAGCACAGTGTCTCCATCTTCTGATGGCTGCTTCCAGCAGGATAACGCATCATGTCATAAAGTGTGAATCATCTCAGACTGGTGAACATGACAATGAGTTCACTGTACTCAAATGGCCTCCACAGTCACCAGATCTCCTAAACTCTGAGAACTAAACTGACACTGTTTCAGTTCACTCTAATCTTCTATGTTTAGCTGCTTTGACACTATCTACATTGTGAAAGAGCAATTGAAATTAAGATGAATTGAATTAAATCTTAATCCACGAGAGCAGCTTTGGGATGTGGTGGAACGGGAGATTGGCATCATGGATGTGCAGCCGACAAATCTGCTGCAACTTGGTGATGTTATCATGTCAATATGGAGCAAAATCTCTGAGGAATATTTCCAGTTGCTTGTTGAATCTACGCCATGAAGGATTAGGGCAGTTCTGAATGCAAAAGGGGTCTAACCCGGTACTAGTATGGTGTACCTAATAAAGTGGCCAGTGAGTGTATATCGAAGAATTTTTCTACCAAAAAAGAATAATAATTAACAATTAATTGATGCTATTAACACTGACTAACCTTTAATGCAGCTTCATGTTTTCATAAATCACTTCTTCTTCAGGTGTGTTTTTCTCTGCAGTGTGTGTGTCTTCAGATGGTGTGTTTTTCTCAGGTGTGTTTGTGCTGTCAGGTGTGTGTGCGTTTGCAGGATGGAGTCGGACTGTGGCGTATTCTTCAGTCAGTGTGGAGAGTCCTCTGATTTCTCCTGACGGCGGCTCCGTGTTGGTGAAGTCAATGGAGGAGTAATGAAGAGTTTCCGATGTGGGCAACAGCAAGCGTTTATCAGCACACACACACTGACCATTAGACGTGACGGCCTGACGAAGAAGAAAAACAACACAATCACAGCTGATCGACGTCTTTTGAGGACTAATAATGTGTGTTCACATTCAAATTCACATTTTATTAGTCACATACACACTTATGCACTGAACAATATACAGTGAAATGCTTATATGACTATGATCTTACATAAAAAGATCATTGAGAAATAAATGATGGAATCGAATAAGAGATAAAATAAAAAGTATATATATATATATATATATATATATATATAAAGAAAGTATAGAAAGCATGGACAAATATAAAATATATTTAAAATACTAGCTATACAATATAGTTATAAATCATTACTATACTTAGTTATATTTTTATGAATTATGAATTAATTAAATCGCTAAACCTAGTTTATTGTGAAATGAAATGAGAAAAAATACAATAGAAAAAGCTTAGATTGATTTTTTTAAAACTACAGTATCGTTATAGATTAATACCAAGTTATATTTTATTATTGAATAATTAAATAATAAAAAGACTAAACTAATTTTATTATAAAAAAGAGATAAATTAAATATTTAGATACAGAAGATGTAGTTATAGAAAAAAACTAATATCAAATATATATATTTTAAATGTAGCTATACAATATATTTATAGATTAACACTATAATTAGTTATATTTTTATTAAGACCTAATTAAGGATTAAATTACTAAACTTATTTTATTATGAAATAAAATAAAAGATCGGATAAAATAGGAAAATTTTAGATAGAAAATATAGTTAACAAATATAAAACATAAAAACTAGCTATACAATATAGTCATGGATTAATACTATGGTTATATTTATATTATACAATAATTAATAATGCTAAACATTTTATTATGGATTAAAATAAGAGATAAAATAAAATAGAGAAACTTTACATATAGAAAATATAGTTATGAATAAGAACAAACATGAAATCTATCTATTTTTAAATCTAGCTATACAATACAGTAATAGATTCACACTATACTTAGTTATATTTTTATTTTGGAATAATTAAATTGCTAAACTTAAGAGATAAAATAAAATAGAAAAAGCTTATAGAAAATAGGGACAAATATAAAATATATTTTAAAAACTAGCTAAACAGCATAGTTATAGACTAACACTTAGATAAATATTTATTATGGAATAATTAAATTAAGTATTAAAACGCTAAACGTATGGTATAATGGAATAAATGAGAAATGAAACAAATATTTAGATATGGAAAATATAGTTATAAAAACAAATATGAAATATGCATTTTAATGTAGCTATACAATATAGTTATAGATTATACTTACAGTAGTTATATTTTTTATGGAATAATTAAGAAATAAATGACTGAACTTATTTTATTATGGAACAAAATTAGAGATGCTATAAAATAGGAAAAACATTAGAAATAGAAAATATAGTTATCGAAAAAAGAACAAATACACATATATTACATATATGCACATTATACATTCAATACAGTCATATATTAATACTAAACTTAGTTAAATTTTTATTATGTAATAATTAATTTAAAAAAATTAAATACTAAACTTACTTTAATCCATAATAAAATAAGTTTAGTATTATTATTATTTGGTATATACTTGGTTATAGATCAGGAGTGCTGTTCCTGGAGATCTGCCCTCTTGCAAACTTCAGCTCCATGCCTGATCGAACACACCTGAACCAATCAATAGGACCTGAAGCAGCACTTAATTTCAGACAGGTGTGTTCGGTCAGGGTTGCAACTGAAATCTACAGGAAGGTAGACCTCCATTAACAGAGTTGCTGACCCCTCTTATAGATTAACACTAAAATAGCTGAAGTGAAATAGATTTTAACTTCATATAAATACAACAACTCACGCTTTGCGTCAGAATGAGTCCAGATGTGTCGTCTCGAGTGCTTTCGGCAAGTTTTCTATACTTTTTTCTGAAAATGACCACCAGGAAATTCATTATTAGACAAAATCACCAACAGAATCACAAATCCTCCTCCAGATAAAAGCAGCGTCTCGACAGAAATATTCATCTTTGTGTCTATAGCACTTTTTGTAATGCAGATTGTGTCTAATCAATAATAATAATCTAATTGCTATTAATTTTAATCTAATTTGTCATTTTTATATATTTGTTACACGCTTATTTATTTTATTTCTGTTAATGTTAAATAATAAAAATGTATATTTATTAAAAATGATGTTGTTTTCCCTTTAAATTAATTTTTATTTTGTTATTATTTTTGTTATTCACTGGCAGTATTTTTGTTTTAGGTTAAATTTAAATGATATTTCAATATTTAAATACTTAAAAAAAATTTAAGAGTAATTTTTGCTGTTTTATGCTTTTAAAAAAGTACTATACACTAGAAAAAGTAAGTGCATTTTATAATACATTTTTAAATCTTATTTAAATCTTTCAAAATGATCACTATAATGTAGATAATGACAGCAGTAGTATCAGCTCACTGTATGTTGAAGCTGTTGAGTGATTGTGTTTTCTCTTTGTGTGATTTACCCACCGTTGGTTGCAGACGGTCAGAACACAGAAGATCAGGATGAGCGATGCTCCGATGGCGAATCCCAGCAGCACACATCCAGTATGAAGACCTGGAAAACAGAAAGGTCAGAGGTCAACACATACATACACAACCTCACGTGGAATAAACAAACTTACTGTAGAAACTGAACTGCAGGTTAGTTACGATTAAATAAAAAAGGTATATAGTTAAAATTCATATTTAATGCAGTTGTGCAGAATACACTTGGCAAGGATTTATGCCCACATGACAAAATACTGTAGTAATTCATAGTAAATACTGTACTTGAATTAACGTGTTGTGATTCTATAGTTGCTAAGGTAACACAAGAACTATAGTAATATAAACAAACAACCCAACACTGTACTTTTCTACACCTGTAGAGTATACCATACTACAATACACCACTACTGTACTCAAAACTAAACAGTGTTTATTACAGTTTATCAGTTCAGTATGCTTTCATTAACAAAGGGTTGTAGATACTGTGGTATAGTTGTAGTATAGTATATAGTTATATATATAGACGTATATAAGTATATCACATGGTGTGATATACTTCTATAGCATGGTTGAGAAACACTGTAGTATTTACATTACTACAGTTTTGTCAATGTTGTTATGGAACTGAGAGAAGGTATCGCTAATGAAACATGAGGAGAATAATTTGCACTTCAGCACTTTTTATCATTGTGTAAATAATTTAAATACAATTCATCTTTTTTAAAGCTACAAACTTGTGCCCAAATGCTTTAAACTTGCTTAAAATGTTTACACAGGCCTTAAAACACAAGCTATTGATAATCTTTGACTTTATTTGGGTTAAACTTAAATAACCCCAAAATTCTCGTGTGATCTGATCTGTTGTAGCTGCTCAACTTTAATCCTGACTCCACATTGAACATCCCCATTGCACAGTCACACATTGCGACTTCAATGCTAAAACTATTTACAGTATTGTGTAGCTCTACAATGCAGTAAGAAAAATAATCTTGTTTTTCGGTTTAAAATATAATAATATTATATTTTACCCCTCTGGCTTTACCTTATTTTAAGGAAAAGCTTTTTAGATTTAGACTAGAAAGTAGTCAAGCATTGTTTGCAGTGTTGAATTTGTGAAGAGTGTAGATGTAAAGCGCTGCTGTGAAACAACAGTTTAGTCTGCTGGTTAATATAGACTGTGCCACTTCTCAAATTTGGCTCTTCTATATTTTGCACGACCTAACCATCTCTGCTTGGCCAACACTGAAGTGTCACTTCCTCTTTTGCCACTTTTTCGCTTGCTATTAATGTATTGTTAAATGCAATGGGCATGCCATCTTTTTAAATGGATGATTTGTGCATCTGCAGCTTTATGAAAGCTCAATTTATTATGATAGCCCATTTTTGTCGGACATTTGGCATTGATGAAAATTCAGATTTGGCTTATTTGAGCTGGGATCTGGAGATTTGGAGCTGCTGGAGTAAGTCTTACCTGTGTCTGGTAATGTTGTGATGTGCTGAAACTGGTGGCTGGCGGATCCGTGAGCGTTTGCAGTCCAACACTGCAGGACTGATGAGTCTGAGAGAGACTGACGGATGGTCAGGATGCTCTCTAAACTCATTTTTCCTACAGTTTGCTCACTTATCTTCATTTCGTTAGTGGAATTGAGAACTTTTCCAGACAGACGCCACTGTAGTTTAGGCAGAGGATTCCCTTCAACCTTACAGACGCATCTGAGTGTGTTGTTTCGGCTACAAAAGCTGGAGATTTTGGGTGGAACTGAAAGTAAAAATATGGTGATAAACATGTGTTTGATATTCTTTTTGTTTTGTTTTTAATATGAAATATTTACACAATCTTAAATATAGGTGCATTTAAATAAGTAAAGTAAAGCAATAGTTCAATAGTTTTTTCTTCTGTTGAACAAAAAAGAAGATATTTCAAAGAATGTTAAAAGCCTGAAATCACTGACTTCCATAGCAGGAAAAAAACAAATACTATAAAAGTCAATAGGTGCCAGCATTTTTCAGAGTATCTTCTGTTTAACAGAGGAAAGAAACTCTAGAAACTAGGTTTTAAAATGAATGGTGAGTAAATGATAAAGAAATTAATTTTTGGGTGAACTATCCTTTTAGTACATGGGCCTCAAAATTGATTCCTGGAGGGCCGCAGCTCTGCACAGTTTTGCTCCAACCCTAATCAAACACAGCTGATCCAACTAATCATTAATGATAAAGTTGTTCAAAAGAGTCTTGAACACCTTGATTAGTTGGATCAGCTGTGTTTGATTAGAGTTGAAGTAAAACTGCAGAGCTGCGGCCCTCCAGGCATTGAGTTTGAGATCCATGCTTAATATATTAAGTCTTGTAAATTGATATATTATATGTTATATATACAGTGTATTATATACACTGTAAAAAAATATTCATAAATTAGCAGATTTCTGTATTTTGTGATTCATGTTTTATATTTCTCCGTTTATTTCCGCTTTTGAATTGCATTGTGGGATCTTGACCTTTTGTTCTAAAACATTTACTCTTAAAAAGTTAGAAAAAGTGACTTTTATAATCATTTGTAATAGTTTGCAGTGCTATATTGTCTAGGTTAATGTTGTATATTACACTACAAATACCTTGTAATAAACTGCAGCACATTTGCTGAGTTGTATATTATTATTTCTTGCCCATTACATTATTTCAAACTACTTAAATTTCAATAAAAGTCACTTTGTTACAAGTCAAAAGTCGACAGAGCAGAGATCAACATCACATAATGCAATTCACAACCGTAAATAAATGGATAACTTTTGTAAATAAAAATATGTAAATGGAAAGATATTTTTTACAGTGTAGCTTCTGCTTAAACCTAAAAACTTACTATTTGTCAATGAAATCATATAAATAAAATAATTAAAACCTTCAAAACACAATTGGCAGATATTTGTTGTGAAAAGCATAAACTCACTCAATTCCGTTTCAAACATCAAACATTTTTTAATTTTTCTGCTAAATGTACTGTATCTTGATTGACCAGTTCTGAAACATTTGTGCTGACAAACATGACAAAGATACTGAATAAGACTTTTTTCAGAGTTTGTCAAATGTAAGAAAAGTCTGTAACTGAAAGCTTAAAGTGTGCTGAAGTAGGAAAGAGGAACGCTCGCTATTGTGGTTATTTAAACAAAATTTCCTCTTTATTTTAACTTCAAAATGTCCAAGTAATTCAATGTAATACATACCCTTCTCATTTTTTACTTTAAGTTTTCTTGTGAACAATATTTGTACAATCTTTTTCTATTGTAAACTTGTAATTCATGTTAGCATTATTAAAGTTTAAGTTTGAAGCTTTATTAATACCTCTGGGGCAATTCATTCTGGTATACTTAACAATAATAATAATAATTATAATAATAATAAATAAAATAATAGTAATTTATGAAAAGTATATAATAATGATAATAATAAATAATAATTTGTTAATTAACTGCATTTGTTACATAATCAGATTGCTTCAGGCACATACGTAAATTTATAATGCTTGACTTTTGTGCCTGAAGCAATTTGGTTACTTAATATTTTATTTATTTGTTTATTTGTATTTAAACTCAGAGCTCTCTCCCGGGACAGCATGCCAAACAAGCTTTATAATCAATCATCAGCTAAGTGTGAATTCTTAAAATGTCATTTCTGTGAGTGTTCAACAATTGCATGTATCATATAGCATGTGCTTCTCACAGGTTTATTATTATTTTACACAGAAAACCACCTTTGCTTTTATGTAAATTGCATTATCTTTAGCAAGTCCTGCTGGCAAACTTTCTGACTGTTGTCAAATCAGTTTGACTGCATAAAATGCTTTTCTTACTTAGTGTTTTGTCTTGTTTCTAGTCCAAATATCTAAAAAAAAATCTTCAATCAAGAAGCATTTTCTAGACAAGCAAAATATAGTCTTATTTTAAGACATCAAAATGAAGTGAGCTTCCCCTCAAAACAATCATCTGCCAATGGGGTAAGCAAATAATCTTGTTTTTCCTTTTGTCATAAGATTATTCTGCTTACACCATTGAAATCTTGCATTTCAAAACACAGTAGTGTAACTTGTTTTTACATAACATGTTAAAAAAGGGGAACCAAGTCAGTTTTTCCATGTGCATGTTACAAACGCAAAACTGTGACACTGCTATGCCTTTTTCATAGCTTTTCTAGCAACTTAACCACAGAGGACTGTCGATACTTGTCAGCTTGCATTTCTTTATAGTATTATGCTTACACTTCATGGTTTTTGCATCTAATAATGTGAATGTGTGAAACAAAGTATTACTGTAAACTGAACATGTTTAGTCAGCATGGGGTGAAGCATTCAGAGTTGGTAAATGAAAAACTGTTGGTTTGTCCAGTATTCATTTATTAGATCATCAATAATGGTTATTTATTAGTGAGAATCTGTTAATAATCTGCAGGACGTCTCGCATGAGTATATCACAGAATGCAGAATGTCCATTTGCAGAATTATTTATCATGAGTAGTTATACTAATCTAATATATTCTGCACAACATCTAGCGTGAATACTTGGTAATCTGCAGGACGTCCAGCATGAGTGCTTCATATTTCTAACCTAATCTGCAGGATATTCAAGATTAGTATTTGAATTTAATCTGCAGAATGTCCAGCATGAGTACTCGGTAATCTAATTAATAATCTGCAGGGCAACCAGCGTGAGTAATTGGTGATGTAATCTGTAGGACTTCCAGCATGTGTACTTGGCAATCTAATCTGTAGGACGTCCAGTGTGAATACTTGGTGATGTAATATAATCTGCGAGGTGTTCAGTGTTAGTGCTTTGGATCTCCTACAGATTAGATTACAGTGTGGGCACTTTCTACATGATAATCTAATCTAATCTGCAGGACATCCAGCATGAGTATTTGGTAATTTAATCTGCAGGGCATCCAGTGTGAGTACTTGGAATTTAATCTGTAGGGCATTTATGATTTAGTAATCTAATCTGCAGGACGTCCAGTGTGAGTACTTGATAATCTGAACTAATCATGCAGGACGTCCAGTGTGAGTACTTGATAATCTGAACTAATCATGCAGGACGTCCCGTGTGAGTATTTGATAATCTAATCTAATCTGCAGGCTGTCCAGTGTGAGTACTTGATGATCTAAACTAAACTGCAGGACGTCCAGCATTAGTAATTGTTAATTTCATCTGCACAATGTCCATCATTACTACTTAGTAATCTAATATAATCTGCAGGACATCTAGTGTGAGTACTTGATAATCTAATATGATTTGTAAAACATCCAGCATGAGTACTTGATTGTCCAATATAATCTGCAGGAGATCTAGTGAGTACTTGGTAATTTAATCTGTTGGACATCCAGTGTGAGTATTAGTTAATCTAATTAGCTAGGCATTAAGTGAGTACTTGGTAATCTAATCTAATCTGCAGGACATCTAGTGTGAGTACTTACTAATCTAAACTACGCTGCAGGACATCCAGCATTAGTGCTTGGTAATTTCATCTACACAATGTCCATCATGAGTACTCCGTAATCTAATATAATCTGCATGACATCCAGTGTGAGTACTTGATAATCTGATATAATTTGTTTGGACATCAGTGTGAGTATTAGCTAATCCAATTTGCAAGGCATTAAGTGAGTACTTTGTAATCTAATCTGCAGGACATCCAGTGAGTACTTGGTAAATTTATTTGCATGAATTTCAGCTTGAGTATTTGGTAATTTAATCTACAGAATTCCTTTATGAGTACTTGATAATCTAATATAATCTGCAGGATTATATCATAATCCAGCATCCAGCATTAGTAAATGGTAATCAAATGTGCAAGATGTCTTGTTTGAATACTCAGTAATTTAATCTAATCTAATCTAATCTGCAGAATGTCCAGCGTGAGTATTTGGAAATGTAAATAATATTATCTGCAGGGCATCCAGCATGAGTACCTGATAATCTAATCTGCAGCATGTCCAGTGTGAGTACTTGGTAATCTAATTTAATCTGCAAAATATTCAGCATGAGTACTTGGTTATCTAATATTCTGGATTTTGTCCAAGTGCACTGGATGTCCTGCAATCCCCCTGAAAAATGTCAAATACTTACTCTATATAATTATATAATTACCAGAAGCTCACATTAAACACTCAGCATTTCACCAAGTATTTACACTTTATGCCCAGAAGATAATTAAGTACTCATGATATATATCAGTAAAGACAATTAGTACTTACAGTGGACGTCCAGCAGCACTGATGTGTTCTGAGTCCCGTGTTGGTTTTCAGCTCTACAGTAGTATCGTCCACTGTGAGACCGGTTAATGTTGCTGATGGTCAGGTTTGGTCCAGTCAGGTTTGTATTTCGGAGCGTCAGGTTTGGTCTGGTCTGCAGTGGTTCCAGGTCTCCTTCAATGTGTCTGTACCAGCTGTGGTTCGCTGCTGGGTTTGCTTCACTGCTGCAGCTCAGAGTCACTGAATGACCCTCCACAATCACACCAGCTGGACTCACATGAGCAGAGACACTTTTAGGAGCATCTGATGAAGAGAACAGCTTTACTATTTTGCACATTATTTAAAAAATAAAGCATTATTTCCTGGGTTCAACATCTAATCAGAAATAGACTATTTTTAATTTGTCAGTGACTCCCAAATCAGGTCCAGCAGAGGACAGTGAATGACACTTTATGTATTATTATGGTTTTCAGTGAAGAATATATTACAGACAACAACACTACCTAATACTCACACTGGACGTCCAGCAGCATTGATGTGTTCTGAACGCCGTGTTGGTTTTGAGCTTTACAGTAGTATCTTCCACTGTGAGACCGGTTGATGTTCTTGATGGTCAGGTTTGGTCCGGTCACATCATAATAGCTCAATGTCAGGTTTGCCTCGGTCAAACTGGTGTTGTTGATGATCAGATTTGCTTCAGTCAGGTTTGTGGTGTTGATGGTCAGGTTTGGTTCGGTCTGCACTGGTTTCAGGTCTCCTTCAGTGTGTCTGTACCAGCTGTAGTTCACTGCTGGGTTTGCTTCACTGCTGCAGCTCAGAGTCACTGAATGACCCTCCACTGCTACACTGTTTGTATGAATATGTGGTTTTTCTGGAGGATCTGATGGAAGAGAACAGAATTTAGGCCTTATGTTTTCAGCGTATTGTGATTTTAATTATACATATACAATTATCCATGTCTTTGTTTTGGAAGAATCCCCCCTTCCACCCCGTCTCCTCCTTTTCCTTCTTTACTACACTGTTAAATATCCTGGTTGTGTTTAATTGAAGCTGAATCAATGTATAACATTGTAAATAAACAGTAATGACAGTTAATACTTACACTGGACGTCCAGCAGCACTGATGTGTTCTGAGACCCGTGTTGGTTTTCAGCTCTACAGTAGTATCGTCCACTGTGAGACCGGTTGATGTTGCTGATGGTCAGGTTTGGTCCAGTCAGGTTTATCTCGGTCAGGTTTGTGTTGCTAATGGCCAGATTTGGTTCAGTCAGGTTTGGTTCGGTCTGCAGTTGTTTCAGATCTCCTTCAGTGTGTCTGTACCAGCTGTATTTGACTGCTGGGTTTGCTTCACTGCTGCAGCTCAGAGTCACTGAATGACCCTCCACAATCACACCAGCTGGACTCACATGAGCAGAGACACTTTTAGGAGCATCTGATGAAGAGAACTTTGATCATTACAGTGTAATTGACAGCATTATTTATAGATCATCTGTGACTGAAGTAATTCCTGTCTTACACTGAACATGTAGCTGTCGGGTGCTGTGTGTTGTGATCTGCTGCTGTGTTGAAGTGCAGGTGAATTCAGCTCTGTGATGATGCTGAGTTACAGTGAACATCAGGTCAGAGTAGTAATGTGTTTGGTTTTGATGCTGCTGTTCTGTTATGTTTGCATTGATGAGGTGTTCAGGACTGAAGCTCCATGTGAGAGATGATGGAAGAGACGGACAGAAGATCTTAAAGCAGCTCAGAGTCACTGATTTTCCCTCCGTCACCTCCATCACCTCCTGCTGATCCTGAAACAGAAGCACTGTGGGATTGGGTGGAGACGCTGAAACACACACACAGATGCAGACTATTTTACAAGATAGCACAGAGCATCATATAATATTACACATTGTATGATGGAACTGCATTACATTAATGTCCAGTCACACTCTCTGATTATTGTGCAGTGCCTATTTTGTTCTTCGAAACCTCAAATTATCTGATTCATGTAGGCTGCTATAAACAACTAAGGAGAAGCAAAATGCAGTAAACATTATGAACCATTGAGACAATGAGCCAATGTGTTTCTGATTGATAATGCATGAAAATAATTAAAACCTGCTAGCAATATGAAGCAGCAGAAAGTTTTTCAGGTGAAACAAATCTCTCATGAAAAAATAAGGTGGACAGAAACAATGACACTCACCTCTGACGACAATTTCAACTTGTGGGTGATGGTTTGGGAGTTTTGTGTAACTATATTTCAGTTCACCGTTGCCTTCAAGTCTGAAGTAATATGAGCCATTGTCACTCACACTGACATTATCGAAGCGAATGCTGCACCTTTTCTCTGTAGGTTTGCCAAATATTTCTCCTTTTAAGTGTCCACTGCCTGAGATGCTGGAGTCAAACACAACTACATTACTATCTTTTGATATTCCTTCCTTATACCATAATCTCTTTACAGTATCAGTGAGGTAAGCATTATATGTTTGATCAATCTCGAATATGCAGGGTATAAAAACACAGGATCCTTCTAGAGCTTCTACTCTCTCCGGCAGACTGATACTGAAGCCACATAAAACACCTGAAACAAAAGCAAACACTAAAGTAACTCATCAAACACAGTGAACATGCTGAATAAATCTCACTCACAAACACTTCTTATTTTACAAAGTTCAGATGAAGCTGCTTTCAGTTTAAGTTAATCAGTAGTTAATAAGAGTAATCAATAATAGTTAATATGAGCGAGACCTTGTATCAGACATCCAGCGAGGAGGAACGTCACAGATATTTCCATCATTTACACTCACTTCACCTTACAGGAGAAAACACACACACAAATAAAACACATGAAGGTTTTAAATGATACAGTATATTTCTGAGCATATTGTATAAGCACAATTATTTTACTATCTGTGTAGAACTTTAGAGCTCAATTTAAGTACACTCATACAACTAATACCACTGTTACACGAGAAAGATAATAAATGTGAAAATCTAAAAAGTGTCAAAGTCTCTAAAATACAGGAGTTAATGTAGGTTTTACCATGTTGTGTGTAAAAGACTTACCGCAGTCGTGTGTTGAAGATGAGAGAAATGAGAGCTGGAGCTTTACCGTCTCTCTTTTACACTGATAGAGGGAGACGCCACTGAAAATTACTTTTTACCACAGTTTTTCCACCACTTCCTCCTTTATTCAGATCTCAGAAATAACAATCGCCTGCCCTCCACATCTAGATTACATCAGACAAAAAGGGGATTTGGAGGATAAAACAATAAAACAGAGCTTTATTATTATTATTATTTTATTTATTTATAGTAGTTAATAATACTATTATTATTATTATTATTATTATTATTATTATTATTATTATTATTAATTAATATTAATATTTATTATTATCATTATTATATATAGTTTTGTTGCTGTTGTGTATTTAAATATGTCCTGATATATAATATAAAAAATAATGACTATCATCTATTTGTATCAATAAATACAGAAGAAAGACAGAATTACAGAAGACCCTCTACACTGTCATTCAGTGCATCTTTAGTTTTTAGTTTATTTACAAAAGGCATGTTTAGAACAAAAATCATTTAATTGCCATTTAAATATCAGAGTCTCGCTCTAAAATACTGTTGAATTGTCAAATATGGAAAATAAATACACTATTCGTCACACTAATCGGCTTTAATATGTATGAAAATAATGTAAAATCATTCAGAATGAAATATAGTTTAGTATCATTTATTCTGTTACTAGTTTAATAATTTTAGGACAGAATGAGGCTTTTGTTTCATTGTGACTTAAAATATCTCAAACTCTCAATAAAAGTGGAATATTAGTTCAGATTTTGACATTTATTTTCTTAACTTAATTTAAACATTAAAGTTGAGACTTTACTTGCATTAAAAATGTCATCTGTGCATAAAACCACTTTTTTAAGACCAGATTTATAGATGACAAACAGAAAATAAGCAGCAGTGTTAGACTGAAATCATTATTCAAAACATTAAGAAGAGTTTAGAAGTTGTCTATTTAGTAAAACATTATTTAGTTTGATCAGGTGAATACAAATTCAGTAAGACAGAGTATAATAACACTTATATATCACTAGAATGTTTTCTTCTGAATTATTGTGGTTGTGAAAGTAAATGTGCTCTTCTGGACCAGAACACAGACATAAGAGGCCCAGAAACATTGTGTATATTGTTGTTTAATATTATTATAGTTTGAATTAATAATTTCAAGATCTTATGTGACAATATTTATGAAAGACTGAACACAAATTCATTCATCAGTCAAATATGAATCATTATCTTCTGCAGTGACGCCTGAAAACCTTCTCAGAGTCAGTTTGAATGAACTGAATCAGTTGAATCATGATTCATATGAAAGTGATTCTTTTTGTGTTTGTTTATGGGGTTTAGTTTGTGCTGTTTAATAATCCTGGAAGACAGTTTGACTGAGTGTCACTATCATTATCATATTATTATCATATTATCATATTATTTTAAAACTGTCCAGTGCATATGTTATCATGATTTATTTTTATGTTTTGATGTAATGAGCATAAAAAAGGTTTTCTTACGCCACCAAGTGGAGCAAATAGGAAATTGCACTACATTTTAATCATGAGTAAGTGTAAAGTAACCACCAGAGGACAACAAAGTATTATTTATTGTGATTAAATACAGTCGAAAATATGTAATGTTATTTTTTATTTAATTTTTTAGCTTATACAAGGGCATAGAATTGGCATGGATGGAGGGGACATGTCCTCACCAATATCCACCAATTACTGAAAAGTCCACACCAATAATTGAATCACCTTCAAAATAAAATAATGCTCTGTCAACCCTTAGTAACCTAGATGTGCTCAACTGATTAAATCCATACAGGTATATTATAGATAATGGAGATAAAACTGTTAAATTGCACCACATGCCTCTCTGAATGTCTGTACATTCATACCTTCTTAAAGCCAGACTGCAGTATCAAATCATCTAAATTGACTTTTGCTGTATAGGATGTGCTTCATTATGGGTTATGTGTAATATAAAGTGTTTAAAACCTTTATTCATGTTTTTAAGTGGAGTTTTATAAACAGATTTTGCGAGGAGCGTGCACAGATGTTTCAGCAGTTCTAACATATCAATTGACAATCATATTATGCAATCAACATTAAACCAAACCCCTATAAATACCAAAAGTTATTTGACCTGCATTATCTCACACCTCCTGTATCCCTCCACCACCTCAACACCTCACCTCTTAAACATTACCCACATAGCAAAGTTTCTCCAGCCCAGCTCTGGCCCACACAATCAGCTTTTGCTTGGCCCGCATGCCGCAGTGGATTACGGTACATGACTGGACCAAGTCTGGCTTTCAGACAAGGGCCAAACATGGACCATTTCTGAGACAAGTCTCGGCCAAGTTAATAACTCATAACTGGGCCTGAACTGGGCCAGATAGATTGGTGTGTCACTACTGCACTTTAGGCACACTATGGGTGTGCTTTTTCTCAAAGTGACCTGATTGGTAGTTTATTTATTTTTTTTTTATCAAAAACAATTTTCGTGTATTTTAGATGTGGGTCAAGACAAACCAAACTTACGTGGCTCACATATCAAGTTTTTACATCTGGGCCAAACACTACATTTTAAATCTGGCCCAAATCTTGTGTGCCACCTTAAAGACGGTTCCGCCTGTGCCAAACCCAGGCCACGTTTGGCCCAAATGCTGTATGCCAGAGCCAGAAGAATGCCTGCTGTGCCAGCTTTATGCCAAATCTGAGCCAGAATTATTTGCTAACTGGGTATCTACTTAAGGGGAGGGTTCTAGGGCCGGGCTAGACATTTCACTCGAACCCCAGCGTCTCTCCCTTTCCTGATAAAAGGAATGACACGAGTTGGGGGGTCTTTTCCAAGCTCAAATCCCTCTTCTTGGACATCACGCCAAATACAATTCATTCTTTAAATATCTGTGAGGGTGAACTCGTGAAAAGCACCAAACAGAATTTGTGCTGTTCAATACATGTGCTCTAGAGATAAACGTCCCCACCAATTTCAAGAGCAAATCTACACCCTTGAGCTCTTGAGCTTTTAATATCTGTATTAATGGCTTTATTATTATTATTATTGTAATGCAATATATTAACTGTAATGTATTTACCCAAACATTTTCAATAGTATAAAATAGATCTTATTAAATTATCATTATTATTATCACAGTTTTGGCTGTATTTGTTTTATTAAATTTAATATATGCAAGTCATTTCAACATAAAGTCCTTTATCAGACAACACTGAGAGCATCCTACACTATATTAATAAAATGCTTTGTTAAAATGCTGATATATGTTAAAGCTCTGCAGAACTCAGATGAACATGTGGAGATGATCACAGGAGTTTATGGAGCTCAAATGCACACAGAAATACTCTGAATAATGTCCGGACGTTTCTCTGCTGCATGAAATGAGGACTTCAGTTCTACAGTCACACTTTATACAGTACAGAGCCAGAAAGACATTTGTTACACATGTTAACACACTTTTTACCACAAGCACTTTTAGTCAGAGCTGTGAAATAACAGTAAAGAAAGTCTTGAAGTGAAGACTTGAAGCTCATTGAATATTCATCACTTACAAGTGAACATTGATGATGTTGTTGGATTCAAAAATAATAACTCACTAAAATAATAATAGAATCAAGTGATTAAAACACACAAAACTGGAGACGTTTGACTGAAGCGTATAACACTGATGTGTGTGTAGAGTGACTGTGCGCTGCTCTCACTTGGTGAATATGAAGCAGTCCATCAGTAAAATGACTCCAATAACTCAACACCAGTTAGATTCAGCAGACTCCTCATATTTCAATACATCATTTAATGAATTGTTGCAGTTTTACATTGCGCTACATCCTGACATGCTGTATTACACTTAGAAATCTTAGGTTTACAGTAATTATACCTCTACTTCTAACACAAACTTTTAATAGTTAACAGTAAAAGATCTTGACAGACAAATAAAAGCATCAGATTAAGATTATCAGTCTGCTCATGTTAAAACTGTGTAATCCAGAGTGATTGATGGAGTTCAAATGCACAAATCTTAAGAAATTAAGCATATTTACAGTGTTATTAAAGACTCTCAGTATAAACAAACAGAAAGAAAACAAATAAATGTTGTTCATTTTAGGAAGCAATCACAAATGTAATGCTGTGCTCAGCTTTCAATGTTAATCATCAGCTCAGCGAAGACAGAAATTGGTCTGTTGGCCTAATGGAAAACATTAAGAACATTTTAAACTATTAAAGCTTGTAAATAAATGGTGTAAACAGATTTTTAGGGTGTAAATTAGGAAGCACTCTTAATACTCACGCTGGACGTCCAGCAGCACTGATGTGTTCTGAGTCCCGTGTTGGTTTTCAGCTCTGCAGTAATATCGTCCACTGTGAGACCGGTTGATGTTGCTGATGGTCAGGTTTGGTCCGGTCAGATTGAAGTAGCTCAATCTCAGGTTTGCCTCTGTCAGACTGGTGTGGCAGATGGTCAGGTTAGGTCCAGTCAGGTTTGTGTTGCAGATGGTAAAGTTTGGTCCAGTCTGCACTGGTTTCAGGTCTTCACTGTGTCTGTACCAGCTGTAGTTCGCTGCTGGGTTTGCTTCACTGCTGCAGCTCAGAGTCACTGAATGACCCTCCACAATCACACTGTTTGTAAGAATATGTGGTTTTTCTGGAGGATCTGATGAAAGAGAACAGAATTTAGGCCTTTTGTATTCAGCAAATTGTGATTTAATTTATACATATACCATATATTCATGTCTTTGTTTTGGAAGAATCCCCCCTACCACCCCGTCTCCTCCTTTTTCTTCTTTACTAAACTGTTAAAAGTCCTGGTTGTGTTAAATTGAAGCTGAATCAATGTATAACATTGTAAATAAGCAGCAATGAGACTTAATACTTACACTGGACGTCCAGCAGCACTGATGTGTTCTGAGTCCCGTGTTGGTTTTCAGCTCTACAGTAGTATCGTCCACTGTGAGACCGGTTGATGTTGCTGATGGTCAGGTTTGGTCCAGTCAGGTTTATCTCAGTCTGGTTTGTGTTGCTAATGGAAAGGTTTGTTTCTGTCAGATTTGTTTTGATCAGGTTTTTGATGGTCAGATTTGGTCCAGTCAGGTTTGGTCCAGTCTGCAGTGGTTTCAGGTTTTCTTCAGTGTGTCTGTACCAGCTGTATTTGACTGCTGGGTTTGCTTCACTGCTGCAGCTCAGAGTCACTGAATGACCCTCCACAATCACACCAGCTGGACTCACATGAGCAGAGACACTTTTAGGAGCATCTGATGAAGAGAAGTGATTGTATGCCAGTAAAATGAATAATGCTTTTACCATTTTGCAAATTAGTAATAGTAAAGTTATTAAACATTCAACAGTCAGCATTATTGTCTGGGTTCGACATGCTATTAGGCCAATTTTTTCTTTTAATTGTCTAGAGACAAACAGCATATGTGGAAATGAACAAAATTCTGTTCAAACAGATTATCAAATATTCAATTCAAATATTCAGTAAATGAAGAGATACTCTAATAATGCTTTAAATCTTTAATGTATTACTATTTAGAATAGAGTAAATCAGTAAAGACTCTTAGTACTTACACTGGACGTCCAGCAGCACTGATGTGTTCTGAGTCCCGTGTTGGTTTTTAGCTCTACAGTAGTATTGGCCAATGTGTGATGGGTTGATGTCGCTGATGGTTAAGTTGGAGTAGCTCAAGGTGAGGTTGGTGTTTCTGATGGTCAGGTTTGGTCCGGTCTGCAGTGGTTTCAGGTCTCCTTCAGTGTGTCTGTACCAGCTGTATTTGACTGCTGGGTTTGCTTCACTGCTGCAGCTCAGAGTCACTGAATGACCCTCCACAAACACACCAGCTGGACTCACATGAGCAGAGACACTTTTAGGAGCATCTGATGAAGGAGAACAGATTTACTGTTATGCACATTTTAAACAACATTATTACATGATTTTGACATGTACTGTAATCAAATCATTTATTTGTCTAAGACTCCCAAATCTGATTCAGCAAAGTACCTCACAGTGAATGGCACTGAACATATTATAATGACTGTATAAAACAGTAAAGACAACAACACACTTAATACTTACACTGGACGTCCAGCAGCACTGATGTGTTCTGAGTCCCTTGTTGGTTTTCAGCTCTACAGTAGTATCGTTTACTGTGTGTGCGGTTGATGTTGATGATGGTCAGGTTTGGTCCGGTCTGCACTGGTTTCAGGTCTCCTTCAGTGTGTCTGTACCAGCTGTATTTGACTGCTGGGTTTGCTTCACTGCTGCAGCTCAGAGTCACTGAATGACCCTCCACTGCTGCACCATTCACATGAGCAGAGACACTTTTAGGAGCATCTGATGAAGAGAACTTTGATCATTACAGTGTAATTGACAGCATTATTCATTGATCATCAGTGACTGAAGTAATTTCTGTCTTACACTGAACATGTAGCTGTCGGGTGCTGTGTGTTGTGATCTGCTGCTGTGTTGCAGTGCAGGTGAATTCAGCTCTGTGGTGATGATGAGTTACAGTGAACATCAGATCAGAGTAGTAATGTGTTTGGCTTTGATGCTGCTGTTGTGTGATGTTTGCATTGATGAGGTGTTCAGGACTGGAGCTCCATGTGAGAGATGATGGAAGAGACGGACAGAAGATCTTAAAGCATCTCAGAGTCACTGATTTTCCCTCCGTCACCTCCATCACCTCCTGCTGATCCTGAAACAGAAGCACTGTGGGATTGGGTGGAGATGCTGAAACACACATACAGATGCAGAGCATTTTACAAGATTGCGAAAAACACGTATCATATATAAAACATTATATACTGGAACTGCTCTACAATAATGTCCAGTCACACTCTCCACTTGTTTTGCAGTGCCTATTATTTTTTATGAAAACTCAAATCATTTAAATCATGTGGGCTGCTACAAACAACTAAAGAGAAGCAAAATGCAGTAGCATTATGAACCATTTACACTGAGCCAGTGTGTTTCTGATTGATAATGCATGAAATAACATGAAATAATAACCTGCTAGCAACAGAAAGCAGCAGCAAGTTTTCTCCTTGTGAAATAAATCTCTCATTAAAAATAAGGTGGACAGAAGCTGCATGAACAATGACACTCACCTCTGACGACAATTTCAACTCGTGGGTGATGGTATGGGTATTTTGTGTAGCTATATATCAGTCCACCGCTGCCTTCAAGTCTGAAGTAATATGAGCCTCTGTGACTTAGTTTGAGATTATCGAAGCGAGTGCTGCAGTTTTTCTCTGTAGGTTTACCAAATATTTCTCCTTTAAAGTGTCCACTGCCTGAGATGCTGGAGTCAAACACAACTACATGATGATCTTCTTTTGATATTCCTTCCTTATACCATAATCTCTTTGCAGAATCAGTGAGGTGAGCATTATATGTTTGATCAATCTCGAATATGCAGGGTATATAAACACAGGATCCTTCTAGAGCTTCTACTCTTTCCGGCAGACTGATACTGAAGCCACATAAAACACCTGAAACAAACACAAACACTAAAGTAACTCATCAAACACAGTGAACATGCTGAATACATCTCACTCACAAACATTTCCTATTTTACAAAGTTCAGATGAAGCTGCTTTCACTTTAAGTTAATCAGTAGTTAATAAGAGTAATCAATAATAGTTAATATGAGCGAGACCTTGTAGCAGACATCCAGCGAGGAGGAACGTCACAGATATTTCCATCATTTACACTCACTTCACCTTACAGGAGAAAACACAAATAAAAATACAAGCACAAATAAAAACACACAAATGTTTTAAATCATACAATCATACAATAATTTTTTGACAATAGTGTATAAGCACAATTGTTTTACTTTTAGTGTAGAACTTTTAGTATAAAGTGCTTTGCATAAATGTGTGCACCCCATATCAAAGCTATTTTTTAAATAAATATTTTCTATAAGATGCTTTTACAATGTTAGATATTTATATATTATTTATATATTAAATATTAGTTATATTTATGTTCTGGAGCTAATGTAACAATATATCTTATGATAGAGTTCCCAATATTCATGCTGAGCACTGTATATAGGCTGTATAAAAATAAGTCTGTAAAATGTTAGAAAAAGTTCTGGCAGTTTATTAGCAGGTTTTTGTAATGTAATTTACAACACCAACCCTGACAATATATAACTTTAAACTACTAAAATGTTAATAAAAGTCACTTTTTCAAACTTTTATACATCATAAGTTGTTGGAGGAAAGTACAATATTTCACAGTGCAACTCAAAAGCAGAAATAAAGAAACATGAATCAGAAATTACTGAAAACTTAATTTACAGATATTTTTACAATGAGGATTAAATGTTTTACTGTGTTGTGTGTAAATGACTTACCACAGATGTTAAAGTGTGTTGAAGATGAGAGAAATGAGAGCTGGAGCTTTACTGTCTCTATTTTTCACTAATAGATGGAGGTGTGAAATTTTATTTTTACCACAGTTTTTTCTATCACTTTATAAATAGCCATCGCCTGCCCTCCAGATCTAGATTACTTCCAAGACAAAAAGGGGTTTGAGGGGGAAAGCAATAAAAAGCATATGTGTTGATGCGATACAGTTTATGCAGTTTAATAATACTGGAAGACAGTTTGACTGAGTTGTCCACTGCATTATCTGTTGTGAAACTGTGCAGTGCATACAATATGCTGTCATGTTATGAAAATATTTTTAATAAGTCTCCTTGTGCCTCCTAGTGGAGCAGAAAGAAACTGCACTACATTATAACAATGTGTAAGTGTAAAGTAACCACCAGAGGACACCAATGTATGCCTACTGTGATTAAATACACTAAAAGCTATGTAATATTTTTAAAATAGTAATATTATTAAATAGCTTATACTTTTACTATCCATATTAATGGATTTATTTCATATTGCAATGCAATATTTTAACTGTATTTACCGAAACGTTTCCTCTCTTATTTGCTACACTTGAGTTCGAATTACTACTTGGTATAAAAGAGCATCTTATTAAATTATTAATAATATTATCACAATTTGACAGTATTTCTTTCATTTAGAATATATGTGAATTATTTCAACACAAAGTCCTTTATTAGGCAACACTGGAGACCATCCTATAGACCCATTAGATGGAATTTTTTTAAATCATATTTTAAAAATCTCCACAAAACCCTGAAGAAATCAAATTATGCAAGACATGATAACAAAAGTTTATAGAGCTCAAATGCACACAGAATAATGGTGTCACACAACCAGCGATCGCTTCCCAGAGGATCGCTGGTTTTCACACGAACTCTCTAAACTACATTTCCGCTTTTCCCAGGACTACATTTTTAATACATGCACTGCTCCCAAACACGCACGTCTGTTCAGTCATCTATCCTGATTGCAAACACCAGCTGGACCTTGTTCACAGACTGATTTCACGCCATTCATAAGCCACTCTCTTACGCTACCAGTTTGCCGAGTCTTGTTTTCCCTGTGTAACATTACAAAGCGTTTCCCTGTCTTGTTTCTCCGTGTCTTGATCCCAGCCTTGTACCTTTGTTATCCTGTTTAGCCTGCCTTTAGACCTATTGCCTGTTATATTGACGACGATTCTGGACTGCCTTAAAATACCCATTTGCACCTGATTTGACCATTGCTTGCCTGACATTGAATAAACCTGCATATTGGATCTTACCTCCTGTTGTCTCCTGTCAATCCCCACCAGTCGTGGTAACAAATGGCAGGACGTATCTTGTAAATGAGCAAAGACTTGTGTTGATGATGAGAGAAATCAGAGAGTAAATGTTGCGATTTTATAATGACAAGGCACATCTTTTCAGCCTCAAATGTCAATCAGAATGAACAACCACTCTAATAAACCATAAACAAATTAAATATAAAGCAAAATAAAGAAAACAAAAATTTAAAAGTGGTAGTTTATTTTGATAGACATTTGAAGCTGATAAGATGTGCTACCCCTGTTTTTATAAAATAAAACACGACAGATTGAGCTACCAGTAGCATATTCAGAGGAGGCAGCACAGATCAACAGAACACCAGCACAGTCATCAGAAGCCTGAATGAGTGAACCAATAGGCCTGGATGTGCTTTAGATTAGTGGAAGGTCCACTGGGAATTACCTAGTGGATAGCCTTCACTGTAATCCTCTGATCTCCCTGGACGAGAGGGGGTCTAGATGCAGACTCGGTGCAGGTGTAAGCTGAGCTGCATGCAATGCCTGTAATGCGCACACCTAACCCCACACCTCACAGTGACGTCACCAGCTCCACTGAGGGCATTGTGTCTGACATTGCCAGTCTGAGATATGCAGTCTGCATCCAGATACTATTGCAGCTGGGCTGACTCGCGCAATGCCACCTTGAACCGCAATCTAAGTACACCGACAGACATGCCTATTCACTATGGGCATGAGCTGATTACAAGCATCGAGTTTACATTTATATTTTACAGTCTGTGGTTTACATGCTGGACCCCCTTGAAACACAGTGACCATGAATGCTATCTGGTGACTGGAAACCACTGCATTTAGAAATGCACAGTCGGTACAACGTCTTTAATAAGATGCATTTGCCAACCGTGTTGCTCTCTTAGAGAAAGCTGCTTTCCTTGTAGAAACCGCTGTATGATTGCTCTTTTAGATGCCAGTGAAGTGCCCAGTGACCGGAGAGAAGACCACAGAGGAATAAGCTGTCAAACACCCTGGCAGACTGGAATCCTGGACTTCTGGAAGTGTCAGGAGTTCAGTAGCAGTTGTGATCTCTTCAGAGATGTGAAAGCTCTGTAGCAAAAAATCTATTTTATTCTCTTTCAGGTGACCTGTGAGGAGATGCACTTGCCCATTTATAGGCATTCATTGGCCTTTTCCTACTCTTCAGAGTGATCAGTTATCTGGCCATTCCCCAAAATGTCAATCCGATATAACTCTTGAGTTCCTGACTTAAAGGGGAACTCAAGCTCTATCACATTTTCACAGTACCGAGGCAGAGGTGTGTGTTAAAAATATTACCACAGTTTTTAACCACATGCACTTTTAGTCAGAGCTGTGCATCAGCAAAAACCTGAAAAGAAAGCGTGAACCTGAAATATGTGTTCAGTATTAATGTTGGTGTAAAATAGTTCAATGCTTTGAAGACATGTATTAGAATCAGTGTTTAAAACACACAAAACAACAATTGCTGTGACCATATAGAGTCAGCAGTGTGAGCTGCTATCTCTAGGTAAATATGAAGCAGTCCAACAGTAAAATGACTCAAATACCTCAACGCCAGTTAGATTTATTAGACTGTTTATAGTTTGATGAATCATGTGATGAAGTGTTGCAGTTTTACATTGCGATACATTCTGACATGGTGAATTAAACTCTGAAACTTTAGGTTTTTAGTAAGTATACCTCTACTTCTAACACATACATTTACTATCATTCATTCATTCATTTTCTTGTCGGATTAGTCCCTTTATTAATCTGGGGTCGCCACAGCGGAGTGAACCGCCAACTTATTCAGCAGGTTTTTACACAGCGGGTGCCCTTCCAGTCACAACCCATCTCTGGGAAACATCCAACACATATTCACACACACACACATACACTATGGACAATTTAGTCTACCCAGTTCACCTGTACCACATGTGTTTGGACTGTGGGGGAAACCGGAGGAAACCCATGCGAAGGCAGGGAGAACATGCAAACTCCACACAGAAACGCCAAATGCGCCACTGCTTCGCCCCATACTTTTACTAGTTTACAGAAAATACAGAAATCTTGACAGACAAATACAAGCATCAGATTAAGATTATTAGTCCGCTCATGTTAAAACTGTGTTATCCAGATTGATTGATGCAGTTCAAATGCAGAAATCGTCAGATCATCAGAAATTAAGCATATTTACAGTGTTATTACAGACACCCAGCATAAACAACAGAAAGTGAACAGATAAATATTGATCATGTTTGTAAGCAATGACATATTTAATTCTTTGTTTTCTCATGCCAGAAGCTGCGATGCTCGACTTTAAGTGTTAATCGTCAGATGGGAGAAGACAGAAATTAGTCCGTCTGCTGATGAGGGCTAGGGGGGATTGAAAACAGATTAAGCTATTAGAACTTGTAAATATTTAGGTGTAAATGCTGTCTGTAAAGTTTAAGTTAGAAAGCACACTTAATACTCACGCTGGACGTCCAGCAGCACTGACGTGTTTTGAGTCCCGTGTTGGTTTTCAGCTTTACAGTAGTATCGGCCATTGTGAGCCAAATAGACATTGCTGATGGTCAGGTTTGTTTCATTCAGGTTGGTGTTGTTGATGGTCAGGTTTGGTCCAGTCTGCAGTAGTTTCAGGTCTCCTTCAGTGTGTCTGTACCAGCTGTATTTGACTGCTGGGTTTGCTTCACTGCTGCAGCTCAGAGTCACTGAATGACCCTCCACAATCACACCAGCTGGACTCACATGAGCAGAGACACTTTTAGGAGCATCTGATGAAGAGAAGTGATTGTATGCCAGTAAAATGAATAATGCTTTTACCATTTTGCAAATTAGTAATAGTAAAGTTATTAAACATTCAACAGTCAGCATTATTGTCTGGGTTCGACATGCTATTAGGCCAATTTTTTCTTTTAATTGTCTAGAGACTCAACAGCATTTGTGGAAATGAACAAAATTCTGTTCAAACAGATTACCAAATATTCAATTCAAATATTCAGTAAATGAAGAGATACTCTAATAATGCTTTAAATCTTTAATGTATTACTATTTAGAATAGAGTAAATCAGTAAAGACACTTAATACTCACACTGGACGTCCAGCAGCACTGATGTGTTCTGAGTCCCGTGTTGGTTTTTAGCTCTACAGTAGTATTGGCCAATGTGTGATGGGTTGATGTCGCTGATGGTTAAGTTGGAGTAGCTCAAGGTGAGGTTTGTGTTGTTGATGGTCAGGTTTGGTCCGGTCTGCAGTGGTTTCAGGTCTCCTTCAGTGTGTCTGTACCAGCTGTATTTGACTGCTGGGTTTGCTTCACTGCTGCAGCTCAGAGTCACTGAATGACCCTCCACAATCACACCAGCTGGACTCACATGAGCAGATACACTTTTAGGAGCATCTGATGAAGAGAAGTGATTTAATGTCATTAAAATTAATAATGCTTTTACCATTTTGCAAATTAGTAATAGTAAAGTCATTAAACATGCAACAGTCAGCATTATTGTCTGGGTTTGACATGCTCTTAGACTAAGATTTTCTTTTAATTGTCTAGAAAATAAACAGCATATGTGGACATGAACAAAATTCTGTTCAGCAGATTAACAAATATTCAATCTGAACATCCAGTAGATGAAGAGATACTCTAATAATGCTCTAAATCTTTGATGCATTACTATTTAAAATAGAGTAAATCATTAAAGACTCTTAATACTCACACTGGACGTCCAGCAGCACTGATGTGTTCTGAGTCCCATGTTGGTTTTTAGCTCTGCAGTAGTATCGTCCACTGTGTGATGGGTTGATGTCGTTGATGGTCAGGTTGGAGTAGCTCAAGGTCAGGTTTGTCTCAGTCAGGTTTGTGTTGCTGATGGTCAGGTTTGGTCCGGTCTGCACTGGTTCCAGGTCTCCTTCATTGTGTCTGTACCAGCTGTATTTGACTGCTGGGTTTGCTTCACTGCTGCAGCTCAGAGTCACTGAATGACCCTCCACAATCACACCAGCTGGACTCACATGAGCAGAGACACTTTTAGGAGCATCTGATGAAGAGAACTTTGATCATTACAGTGTAATTGACAGCATTATTTATAGATCATCTGTGACTGAAGTAATTCCTGTCTTACACTGAACATGTAGCTGTCGGGTGCTGTGTGTTGTGATCTGCTGCTGTGTTGCAGTGCAGGTGAATTCAGCTCTGTGATGATGCTGAGTTACAGTGAACATCAGATCAGAGTAGTAATGTGTTTGGTTTTGATGCTGCTGTTCTGTGATGTTTGCATTGATGAGGTGTTCAGGACTGAAGCTCCATGTGAGAGATGATGGAAGAGACGGACAGAAGATCTTAAAGCAGCTCAGAGTCACTGATTTTCCCTCCGTCACCTCCATCACCTCCTGCTGATCCTGAAACAGAAGCACTGTGGGATTGGGTGGAGACGCTGAAACACATGCAGATGCAGACCATCTTACAAGATAGCAGAGAACATCATATCATATAACACATTGTATAGTACAGTAGCACTTTTTAACTTGAATGTCAATTTTTTTGCAAAGCATATTTTTTTGAATATGCAAGACATCTGATTCATTATATGTCAGTGTAGATAAACAACTAAAAGTGAAAGTGCAGTAAGCATTATAACTGTTTACACTATGAGCCATGTGTCTTGATTGATAACAGATGAAAATAAAAGTTACCAGCTTAAATCTAAAACAGCATCAGTAGACCTTTTGTCCTGGCGATATACTAGTCTCTCTTGTTAAAAATAAGGTGGACAGAAGTAGCATGAACAATGAGACTCACCTTTGATGACAATTTCAACTTCTATGTAGCTCCATTTTAGTCCACCGTTGCTTTCAAGTCTGAAGTAATATGAGCCACTGTCTGTGAGTTTGAGATTATCGAAGCGAGTGCTGCAGTTTTTCTCTGTAGCTTTGTCAAACATTTCTCCTTTTAACTGTCCACTGTCAGGGCTGCTGGAGTTAAACACCAAACCAGAAGGGTATATTTCTTTATACCATAATCCCTTTGCAGCATCAGTGAGGTCATCTTTATAATCTTCATCAATCTGGAATATGCAGGGTATAAAAACACAGGATCCTTCTAGAGCTTCTACTCTGTACGGCAGACTGATACTGAAGCCACATAAACCACCTGAAACAAACACAAACACTAAAGTAACTCATCAAACACAGTGAACATGCTGAATACATCTCACTCACAAACATTACTTATTCAGACTTCAGATGAAGCTGCTTTCGCTTTAAGTTAATCAGTAGTTAATAAGAGTAATCAATAACAGTTAATATGAGCGAGACCTTGTATCAGACATCCAGCGAGGAGGAACGTCACAGATATTTCCATCATTTACACTCACTTCACCTTACAGGAGAAAAAACACACACAAATAAACACACATGAAGAAATGTGTGACAACATTGTGTAAGCATTATTATTTTCTTTAGCTTTTTTGCTGTAAACTCATATAAAGTGCCAAAACTGTTACATGAGGAATTATTAACATAATAAGAATTTACAACACAATCCCAAACAACACATCACTTCATACTTATTAAAAATCTCTGCCAAATAAATAAAAACTAAATAAAAGTCACTTTTTCAACCTTTTAACATCAAATATTGATAAAGAAAAGTTAAGGACCCCATAATGCAATTCAGTACCGGAAATAAAAAAACAAGATAAAAAAATTGAATAACAAAATATGTAAAACTGTTTTGAAAACAATTGAGGGTTAAATGTTTTACCGTGTTGTGTGTATTTGACTTACCACAGTCGTGTGTTGAAGATGAGCGAAATGAGAGCTGGAGCTTTACTGTCTCTCTTTTACACTGATAGAGGGAAGCGTGAATGAAAATTACTTTTTACTACAGTTTTTTTTCCTCCACTTCCTCCTTTCATCATCTCAGAAATAACAATCGCCTGCCCTCCAAATCTACATTACTGACAAGACAAAAAGGGGTTTACATTGTATATAACAGAGCTTTAGTTACATAGCTTTGTTGTTGTAGTTTATGCGAATGTGTCCTGTTTACACCCCTCTAAAATGTCATTCAGTGCAACTATAGTTTATATACAAAAAGGTACAATTGAAGCGATAAACTAATTGAATTTTGAGTGCAGCTTTAAAATACTTTCTAATTTTCAAATCTATACACTGTCCATGAAACTGCTAAGTGTTAGCATATTATCTGAAATCATTCAAAATTAAATATACTTTAGTTTAATTACTTTGTCATTCATTTTCCTTAGGTTTAGTCCCTTTATTAATCAGGGGTCGCCACAGCAGAATGAACCGTAAACTTATCCAGCATGTTTTATGCAGCGGATGCCCTTGCAGCGAACTTTTGGCTGTGAGGCAACAGTGCTAACCACTGAGCCACCATGTCAGTCACTTATTCTGTTATATTTAATAATTACAGGTCAAAACGAGTGTGTTGTTTCACTCTTTCAAATATATATATGCTTCTCCTACTGAGGGTGGATCATAATTGTATTTATATTTTGGCATTTTATTATCACAAAAAAGTATTTAAAAATTAAGTTTACAATATTAAAGTTTAAAATTAAGCCAATTTCGCTAGACGGCTAAAAAGATTTAGTTTGCTCAGGTAAAAAAGGTAATTAAAAAACAAAGAAGACATTTTGAAAGCATCCATATCTTAGAATAATTGTTTCTTGATTATTTTGGTTGTTGAACTTGTTGTGCTATGCCATTATATTTAATAAAAATGTTATATAAAATATTTAATCTGGACCAGAATACAGAGTTTGGCATTAGAGGCATTGAAACTGCTTATTATTATTATCATCTATATCACACGTGTCAAACTCAGTTCCTGGAGGGCCGCAGCTCTGCACAGTTTAGTTCCAACCCTAATTAAACACACCTGATTGCACTAATTGAGTGCTTTAGTCTTCTGTGATACCTGCAGATAGGAGTGTTGAAGCAGGACTGGAACTAAACTCTGCAGGGCTGCTTCCCTCCAGAAATTGAGTTTGACACCCCTGATCTATACTGAATGTGTTTTCATTTAATTTCTTCCATGATCTTGCACAGTAAATGTTTATGTAAGATATCAAATGGAAAAACATATCACATATTTATATGTCAGAATTTAATACAATTCAACTGGAAAGATGTTTTCTTCACCCCCAGCCTCTGAATACTCAAACATCTGCCCTATAATGTATATTAGCACTGTTTCCCACATTTGATTGAGATTAATTTAACTGAACAAATAGCAGAAACATGCTAAAAACAATATTTAAAGTGAATAATTTGTGTTTTTTTTACATTTCTTAAATGATGTTTAACAGAGCAAGGAAATGTTCACAGTATGTCTGATAATATTTTTTTCTTATGGATAAAGTTTTGTTTTGTTTCGTCTAGAATAAAAGCAGCTTTTAATTTTTTATGAACCATTTTAAGGACAAAATTATTAGCCCCTTTAAGCTACATTTCTATATTTAGCTATATTTATATGAGCTTATAGGAGCTAAATTTGTCCCTTTAAGCTATATTTCTTTATATTTCGATAATCTACAGAACAAACCATCGTTATACAATAATTTGCCTAATTACCCTAAACTGTTATCCTAATTAACCTAGTTTAGGCTTTAAATGTCACTTTAAGCTTTGTAGAAGTGTCCTGAAGAATATCTAGTCAAATATTATTTACTGTCATCATGGCAAAGATAAAATAAATCAGTCATTAGAGATGAGTTATTAACACTATTATGATTAGAAATGTGTTGAAAAAATCTGCTCTCCGTTAAACAGAAATTGGGGAAAAATAAACAGGGGGGTGAATAATTCAGGAGGGCTAATAATTCTGACTTCAACTGTATGTTGCTAATTAATTGAAGAACTGCACTGATATGCTGCAATCAATATTCAAAATTATTAATACTAACTTTTGTCAGTTCTCACATTTCATTTAATTAAATTTGTTGTATTTTGCTGTAACAAGTATTCTGAATACTGCTTTAACATTATTCCTGATATTAGCAGTATAGTATATTGACATGAAGGATTTCTCTGATGTTTATTCAAAATCATCATTTATTTTGCTTTTGTTTTTTATCACAAGTATAATCTTACAGTGCACAAACTGAGAAAAAAAGAGACAAACCGAAATATTAACAAGTACAAATATACAGAACATTAAGAAAAACAGTATATTTACATGAAATTCTGTTGTCACAGTGGAAGATTTTAATGGTTTGACATTTATACAAAGTTTTCTTTTATTTTCAGTGACTGTTTTTTCCAGAAACACTGGACTGTGCTTTCAATTGCATTAAAATAAATATGCTTTAAATAAGAGACATATACAGAATAAAATATTTACCGTTTACACAAAAAAGAAAACCTATTTTGAGCAAAACTTTAAAACCACAATATTACAAATGTGCTGGTGAAAAGATTAAGCTTGAAAATAAACAAAAATAATTGTTTGAATATGAAACCAAGGGCCATTCTAGTTTAAACCCTGGGCGAACCACCCCATATACCTTGATCCATATATAAATATATATATATATAAAACGTGTATTATAACTTTTTAAAAAATGTAATAAAAATAAATGTTTTCAATGCAGAATAAAGACAAGAATGCACGTTTTAGCGCTTTTTTTTTCTTTTTCTTCAAAAATGTTTGTATGTGAAAATGCATGGGCGTCAACACTCACAGAAAATGTGCAAACAAACAACACTGAAATATGTTTTTCCACTTCTGATCTGGTGAGAAAATATTAATACTCACAGCAAAAATACTGATATCTTCTGTATGTTTTGTAGATGCTTTCTGCTTAATCATCAAACTAAGACAAGTATTTACACAGTTAATAAAAAATAACTTATGTGCATATCTACAGTATATACAGTTGAGGGCAAAATTATTCACCCTCCTGTGAAATATTTAATCTTTTCCAAATATATCTCAAGTGATAATTAATGGAGCAACGACATTTTCACAGTATTTCATATAATATTTTTTCTTCTGGAGAAAGTCTTTGTTTTATTTCAGCTAGAATAAAAAAATGTTCAGGTCAATATCATTCGCCCCCTTATGCAATATTAGTTTTGGATTGTCTCCAGACCAAACCACTGTTATATAATGACTTGCCTAATTACCCTAACTTTACCCTCATTACCCTAGTGAAGCCTTCAAATGGCACTTTAAGCTGAATACTAGTGCCTTAAAGAATATCTAGTCAAATATTATGTACTTTCATCATGACAAAGAGAAAACAAATCAGTTATTAGAGATGAGTAATTAAAACTATTGTGTTAAATCGGGGGAAATCATAAAATAATTTAAATTTAACAGGAGGGCTAATACTGACTTTAACTGGATGTATGTAATTTTATTGACGTGTGAAAATGCATGGGCGTCAACACTCACAGATGATGTGCAAACAAACAACACTGAAATATGTTTTTCCACTTCTGATCTGGTGAGAAAATATTAAAACTCTCATCATTTTATTTTGCAGAAAATATTAAGTTATTTTGTAGATAATTTCTCTATACCATTATTAAAAAAAAAACTAATTACCTAATAACCTACCTAAAAAAAACCTAATAACCTAATTTTAGCTATATATATATATATATATATATATATATATATATATATATATATATATATATATATATATATATATATATATATATATATATATATATATATACAGTTGAAGTTAGAATTATTAGCCCCCCTGTTTATTTATTTAATATTTTATTTTCAATTTCTGTTTGACAATTTCTGGTTAAACAATTAAAAACTGCTTTTATTCTAGCCCAAATAAAACAAATAAGACTTTCAAAAGAAAAAATATTATCAGACATACTGTGAAAAATTCCTGAATCTGTTCAACATCATTTGGGAAATATTTATAAAAGAAAAAAAAATTAAAAGGGGGGATAATAATTCTGACTTAATACACACACACACACACACACACACACACACATATATATATATATATATATATATATATATATATATATATATATAATTATTTAAACATATACATAAAGTATTTATACATAGACATAATTATATAACCTCCTGTAAATTTTGAATTCTCTTTTGAAATATTTCTCAAATTATGTTCTAGGGTGCAAAGATTTTTTTCCTTGATAACATGCAAACTCTACACAGAAACACCAGCTAGCCCGGCCAGGACTCGAACCAGCGACCTTCTTGCTCTAAGGCCACCGTGCCACCACAAAACAAATTATTTATTGTAAATTAGTTATTAAAACTATTATATTTATATATATATAATGTGTTGAAATATTATATGGTGTACATAGCCAAAACTGGAACTAAATTTAAAAAAAAAATGAAGATCACAGTCTAAATATACTAGTACAGCTAAAAAAATATGTTGGGATAAAATAATAAAACTTGAATTAAATAGGAGAAATCAAGAGAGACATGAAAATATTAAAAGTTAGTTGAAATGTTTCTAAAGGAGATAAGTGACTAAACTCTAGTTTATTGTATATAACTGTGTCATTTTTATATTTATACTGTTTGTTTTTGAAAGTGCAAGAGCAATAACACTCATATCAAATATGTTTTTCCACTGCTGATCTGGTGAGAAAATATGAATAATCCCAGCATGATTGTTTTTTAATCAGAAATGTCTGAAATTTCTTTCTTTTTTTCTGTATACACTGTAAAAATTTCTGTCAATTTTACGTATTTTGTGATTCATGTTTTTTCTCTCACTTATTTCTGCTTTTGAATTGCATTATGGGGCCTTGATCTTTTTATTAAAAGCTTTTGATGTTAAAAAGTATAAAAAAGTGACTTTTATGAACATTTGTAATAGTTTGCAGTGCTATATTGTCTGGGTTGGTGTTATACATTACGCTACAAACACCTTGTAATAAACTCCCAGTACTCTGTTGTTAGTTTTTTGTTATTTTTCTATATATCATTATTTCTTATACATTATATTATTTCAAACTACTCAAATGTCAATAAAAGTCACTTTGTTAAACTTCAGAGTTGAATTTTCAGCATCAAAAGTGGACAGAGCAGAGATCAACATCCCATAATGCAGTTCACAACCGTAAATAAACAGAATACACACAATACTGACACTGTCCATTAACAGATATTTTTTACAGTGTGTTTTGTAGATATTTTCTGCAGAATTAGTCAAAACTAGGAGAAGTGATGCTTTTTTTCACACTCTCTAACCTCCTGTGCTGGCTCATGTCTTCATAGATCACATCTTCAGATGGTGTGTGTTTCTTGGCGGTGTGTGTGTCTTCAGATGGTGTTTTTTTCACCATGGCGTATGTGTCTTCAGTTGTGTTTGTTTCGGTGGTCTTTATGTCTTTAAATGGTGTGTTTGTTTCGATGGTGTGTGTGTCTTCAGGTGGTGTGTTATTCTCAGTGGTGTGTGTGTCTTCAGATGTGTTTTTCTCAGGTGTGTGTGTGGTTGTGCTGTCTATCTCAGGGGTTGTGTCAACAGTGCGGCGTCGGACTGTGGCATATTCTTCTGTCAGTGATGAAAGTCCTCTGATTTCTCCTGACGTCGACTCCACGTTCATGAAGTTAATAGAGGAGTAATGAACAGTTTCTGACGTGATCAATGTGGACGACAGCAAGGTTTTCTGACAAAACAAACAGCACAATTACAACTGAACGCCTGTCAGTGTGCTTTTGAGCACTATTAATGTGTGTGCAACTTACGCTTTCAGTCCGAATGAGTTCAGAAGCGTTGTCTTGTCTGCTTTCTGAAAGTTTTCTAGACTTTTTTCTGAAAATGAGCCATATTATAAAAATCAGTGCAACACACAGGACTGAAATACTTTTTTTTTACACATTGCACATTTTACAAACACTTACAGTATGAACATTGCACATCTACACATTTATGCCTATTGCACACCCAATGGACACTCCTGGACATTTATGCATATGCACACAGGCTCTGGGCATATATTGTGTAGTTCTTGTGAACACTCCTTCTAATGCACTGTTAGAAACACTTCTGTGTTTTTATTTGTACAAAGAGGTCGTTTATATTTATATAAGTCTATGTGGTTGAATTTAATTAAGTGCTGAACTGAAATGGATCAAAAGTAGCCCAGCATAAGCAACTGGGCTCTCTAGATGCTTTAAAACAATGTGGAACAATGCATTTTCCACTTTAACACACCTTGTTTTAATGCATCTCGAGAGCCCAGTTGCTTATGCTGGGTTACTTTTGATCCATTTCAGTCGATTAAGGTCACTGGGGGGTGTTTAAGCATTTGACTGCAGATCATACAGTGTATAATTTGAATTTGAAATCAGCTTTTGAATCACAAATCAATTCAACTAAAGCTTTTCACAATAGCTATCGCTCCAAAGCTGCTTCACAAAAGGTGCACATCATTATATTTTGGGCTGCACAATGTATAATTTCAGCAGTGATATTGCGATGTGACTCGTAGATTCACACATCGCAGGATCTGCAATGTTGAGTTGGGATTATTATTAACCAGAATGTAGAACAAATGCAAATTTTAATACTATCAGAGAGAACTGCCTGTGATTACGTACAATTTAAAGCAAAATGATATGGAGCCAGATCAGTCTCAAAAATAATGCATTTGCAAAACATAATGCATGCAGCCACAACACAATTCACATTTACAAAATCTAGTTCATTTGTTCAAAACACGATTCATAATATACACATTCAATTCATTTGACAAAACTCTTTATGATTGTGAATTGCGCTGTGCATGTATGAATTTTATTTTTGTAAATGTAGGATTTGAGACTGATCTGGCTCCTTAAATTTAAGCCATTTGTGCATTTTGTGCTTTAAGAGTGCATTTCCTATTACAGAAAATACCACTGAAATCTTCTGAGAAATGTTCTTTCACTGAACTGTAGATAATGACATCTGTAGTTTCAGCTCAGTGTATATTGCAGCTGTTTAGTGATTTGTGTTTTCTTGTCTTTCCATTGGTTTGTGTGATTTACTCACCGTTCATTGCAGACGGTCAGAACACAGAAGATCAGGACGAGTGATGCTCCTACAGAAAATCCCAGCAGCAAACATGCAGGATGGAGACCTGGAAAACAGAGAAAGAAGGTCAACACAACCTTATGTGGAAACAACAAACTTACTGTACAAGCTGAATCAGACACTCGACTGCAGGTTAGTTACAATTACATTAAGCTATATAGTTAATATTCATTTAAAATGTGGTTACACTGCAATACCCAATGAAACACTACAATTAAAAGTGCTTTAAATGTGCTGGAAAAACATCAGGCATCACAAACAGTACACACATAAGGGTTTATTACAAAGTGCATTGTTTAGAAGTATACTTAATTGAGCTAAATTAATCGTCAGCTCTCTGTAAAGAGCACCTATTATGCAAAAATTACTTTGTTAAAGGAGTTTAAACAGAGTTATGCGTGAAAATATCCCGCTTCTAATGGTAAACATTTAATTGTTGTATTTTTAATCATTTTTAACTTGATAAAAACAATCGGCTGAAACACTTTGATTGACATTTTCCCTTTGTACTTGTCATCAGATGGGGAAAGCCCCGCCCACTAGTGACCAACTCTTTCTCATTAGCATAAAAAGTCAGTCTTTTTTTTTATCTGCCACTATGCTGACACACAGGCATTTGTAGCTCCGCCCTCTTTTGAAAAGAGCTCAATCTCATTTGAATTGAAAGTGTCAGTCAAAAGAGGCAGTTTCAGAGAGTAATTAAACATTATGAATGTGGTATTTGGAGCTCAAACTAAACAAACACACTTAAGAGATAACAGAGACTTATTTTACCTCTTGTAAAAAGGAACATCATTAAGTGCCCTTAATGACAATGTTCATTTTGCGAGCTGGACCTTTTGAGTAAATCTGACCTGTGTCTGGTGTTGTTGTGATGTGCTGAAACTGGTGGCTGGCGGATCCGTGAGCGTTTGCAGTCCAACACTGCAGGACTGATGAGTCTGAGAGAGACTGGCGGATGCTCAGGATGCTCTCCAAGCTCTTGTTTCCTACAGTTTGCTCACTTATCTGCATTTCTTCAGTGGAATTGAGAACATTTCCAGACAGACGCCACTGTAGTTTAGGCAGAGGATTCCCGTCAACCTTACAGATGCAGACGAGTGTGTCGTTTTGGCTACAAGAGCTGGAGATTTTGGGTGGAACTGAAAGAAAAAAATTTTATGATAAAACGTGTTTGATATGCATTTTTTCCAAGTTGAAATGTTTACACATTCTTAAGTGAAGGTGCATTTAAATAAGCAAAATTAAATGGATAGGTCACCCAAAAATGAAAATCGTGTCATTTATATATATATATATATATATATATATATATATATGTATATGTATATATTCTTTCTTCACTTGTCACAAACTTTTTTGAAACCTCCAAGCATTGACTTTCATAGCAGGTAAAAACAAATACAATGGAAGTCAATGCATGGCAGCATTTTTTAATTAAACTCTCAGAAACAAGTAAAGGCTGAGTAAATGGTGATTTTTATTTTGGGGTGAACTATTGCTTTTAGATATTAAGCCCTGTTTATTGATATATTCAGTAAAGGTATATGCAGATTCAGCTTAAAGCTTAAAACAAACTATCTGTCAATGGAGTCATTACAATAAACTAATTAGAAACTTTAAAACAAGATCCCTTTTGCAGATATTAAAAGCAGAAACTCACAGATCAACGTTTCAGAAAACTGAACATCTTATCTTGATTTATTAATTTGTAACATTTTGTGCTGATAAACAGGGCAAAACTACTGAATATGATTAAATTTGTCTGTGATCATGATAAAATAACAGAAAACCTGCTGAAGGACAAAGAGGAACACTCACTATTGTGGTTATCAAGGCAGGTTTTCACATTTAAAATAAGCAACATTTTCACTTCTTTTTTACTTCAAAATCTTTAAGCAATTCAGTGTATTACAGACCCTTGTCATTTCTGTCTGTGAGATTTACTTGTGAACAGTTTCTGCACCTTTTTTTCGGTGTGCTCTTGTAAATCATGTCAGCATTATTTGTACACCCCATCTTTGCTTTGAGTCTTCAGCAATTGCATGTTTTACTATAAAGCGTGTGATTCTCACACTTTAGTGCTATTTTACACAGAAAGCTGCTGTTTTTCCATCTGCATTTTCTGTAAATGAAGACACACCTATGCTAAACTGTATGACACTGTACTACGCCTACTTCATAGCTTATTACAACTTAACCACAGCAAACTTTCAGCAATTATCAGCCTTTTCTGAACATTTCTTTATGGTGTCATGCTTTTTGCAGCTGATATATCAGAATATTTTAACTAAAGTGACCTACGAGTGAGGATAAAAGAAGCACTTCAAATCATCAGAGAGCAGCAGTAAATAAATGCTATGATGAGTCTCAGTTACTAAATCTACAAGTCTAATATTGTACCCTTCAATGCATACACTCTCAGAAATAAAGGTACTTTTCAAAAGATACATATTTGTACCCAAAGAGTCCACAGTGGTTATAAATGTACCTAAAAAATACCTTTGAGGTACCATTATGTACCCTTCGGGTACAAATATGAACCTTTTGAAAAGGTAACAGCTCCTGTACCTTTATTTCTGAGCGGGTACTGTGGATTTTTATAAATGTAGATCCACTAGAGTAGACTATAACTGAGTTAGTCATGCACAGTGTGTGTTACATTTGGTAATGATGTCTTAGTAAATATTAAGTCTGGCAGCCCAAGTGTCTGAGACATTATTCTATTCATGCATTCCTGACCATCGAGACGGGTCCCAAAGTCATGGCTGGATTTGCACCTATGCATTTGAATTGTTGCTTTTATGAGGATGAGATCAGGACTGAGAATGTTCTGTTGCCAGTCTGACCGCTGTACTTCATTTGCATGCTTTGTTTACATTTGTTTCCACCTCGATGTATCCCTAAAGTTGTATAAAATACATGTGTTAGGGGCCGTTCACACTCACATTTTTTAAAGTGCTGCACATGTGAACATGGGTATGTCATGTGATCATGACCAAAGGTGGATGTAGTTTGTCTAATTTTAAGTAAATTAAAATTTAGTAGACAATTTATGTAGTAGACAATTTTGGACACAGCCTGTGTCTATATACTAGTACTTCACACACTGCGCACCTCATCACTGTCACTTCAGAACCTCTCCAGAAGTTGTAGCTCTTCCAGATACTACTCTTTTTCCAATGCTATGAATTTAGACATACTACTTGCATACTGTTTTTAATATATTATATGTGAGTTTGCAACATCAGACATAGTCCTGGTCAGCTTCTGAGCTTGCAATAAGGAGAGGAGAGAGTGTGTCCTACAGGGAGTTTGTCTAGACCACTCACCTGAGTGGAGCACACTCAGAATTGCATAGTTATTGTTGGGCAATTGATGATTTACATTTGTAATGTTTACAAGTGATGATACTTACACTATAAGATTATCATAAACTCATAATATATATCAGTAAAGACTCTTAATACTCACACTGGACGTCCAGCAGCACTGATGTGTTCTGAGTCCCGTGTTGGTTTTCAGCTCTACAGTAGTATCGTCCTCTGTGGGCCGGGTTGACATTGCTGATGGTCAGGTTTGGTCCAGTCAAATTTATTTTGCTCATGTTTTGGTTGCTGATTGTCAGGTTGGTGTGTCTGATGGTCATATTTGTGTTGCTGATGATCAGGTTTGGTCCAGTCAGTAGTTTCAGGTCTTCTTCAGTGTGTCTGTACCAGCTGTATTTGACTGCTGGGTTTGCTTCACTGCTGCAGCTCAGAGTCACTGAATGACCCTCCACAATCACACCAGCTGGACTCACATGAGCAGAGACACTTTTAGGAGCATCTGATGAAGGAGAATAGATTTAATATTGTGCAAATTTTTAAACCGCGTTATTGCATAATTTTAACACGTAATCAAATCATTTATTTGTCCAAGACTCCCAAATCTGATAAAGCATAATACCTCACCGTGCTCAAAGTAAATGGCACTGTACATATTATAATGAATATCAATGTAGAAAACAGTAAAGACAACAACACTACCTAATACTTACACTGGACGTCCAGCAGCACTGATATGTTCTGAGCTCCGTGTTGGTTTTCAGCTGAACAGTAGTATCGTCCACTGTGAGACCGGTTGGTGTTGCTGATAGTCAGGTTTGGTCCAGTCGGTGGTTCCAGGTCTCCTTCAGTGTGTCTGTACCAGCTGTAGTTCGCTGCTGGGTTTGCTTCACTGCTGCAGCTCAGAGTCACTGAATGACCCTCCACTGCTGCACCGTATATATGAACAGATGTGTTTTTTGGAGCATCTGATGAAGAGAACTTTGATCATTACAGTGTAATTGACAGCATTATTTATAGATGATCTGCGACTGAAGTAATTCCTGTCTTACACTGAACATGTAGCTGTCGGGTGCTGTGTGTTGTGATCTGCTGCTGTGTTGCAGTGCAGGTGAATTCAGCTCTGTGATGATGATGAGTTACAGTGAACATCAGATCAGAGTAGTAATGTGTTTGGCTTTGATGCTGCTGTTCTGTGATGTTTGCATTGATGAGGAGTTCAGGACTGAAGCTCCATGTGAGAGATGGTGGATGAAATGGACAAAAGATCTTAATAGAGCAGCTCAGAGTCACTGATTTTCCCTCCGTCACCTCCATCACCTCCTGCTGATCCTGAAACAGAAGCACTGTGGGATTGGGTGGAGACGCTGAAACACACACATGCAGACTAATTTACATGATTGCAGAGATCATCATAAGATATTACACATACATGTATTATTACTTTTTTCATTAATATCTAGTCACTCTCTCAACCTTATTTTGCAATGCATTAATACTTTTTATTGAATATAAAAAACATGTTTTATTATAAATTGGTATAGATAAACAACTAAAAAGAAACAAGGTGCAGTAAACAGTAAACTATTTGCACTATGAGTCAGTTTATTTATGACTGAAAAATAATTAAATAACAATAACTAGCTTGCAATATAAAACAGCATTAAATATGTGGAAATAATGGTAGCTTCTCATTAAAAATAAGGTGGACAGAAGCAGCGTGAACAATGACACTCACCTCTGACAACTATTTCAACTTGGGAGAAATCAGGGTTTCTGTAGCTCCATTTCAGTCCACCGTTGCCTTCAAGTCTGAAGAAATATGATCCATTGTCTGTTGGTTTGAGATTATTGAAGCGAGTGCTGCAGTTTTTCTCTGTAGGTTTACCAAATATTTCTCCTGTTAAGAGTCCACTGTCAGGGCTGCTGGAGTTAAACACCAAAACTGCATCTTTTCCATCTTTATACCATAATCTCTTTGCAGAATCAGTGAGGTAAGCATTATATGTTTGATCAATCTGGAATGTGCAGGATATAAAAACACAGGATCCTTCTAGAGCTTCTACTCTCTCCGGCAGACTGATACTGAAGCCACATAAAACACCTGAAACAAACACAAACACTAAAGTAACTCATCAAACACAGTGAACATGCTGAATACATCTCACTCACAAACATTTCCTATTTCTCCTTTATCTCTCAAAGATCAGATGAATCTGCTTTTAGGTTAATTAACTTTAACATCTTGTTATTAGAGTCAGTAGTTAATAAGAGAAATCAATAATAGTTAATATGAGCGGGACCTTGTATCAGACATCCAGCGAGGAGGATCGTCACAGATATTTCCATCATTTACACTCTCTTCACCTTACAGGAGAAAACACACACAAATGTACAAAAAAAAGCTTTTAAATAAATTTGTGACAATAATGTATAAGCACAATTGTTTTCCTTTCTGTGTAGAACTATATTAGAACTGTGAGTACACTCCTAACAAATGTATAGTTTAAATGTATATTTTCTATAGGGTGGTATACAATATTATATTTCTCTATAATACATTAGATTAGTCACGTACCAAAGCCAAATCTGGAGCTAATCTAGGTTTAACATAACTCAAGAAACTAAAAAATATAAAGTTTAGTTGACATTGTCATTCATTTTCCTTTGGGTTAGTCCCTTTGGGGTCGCCACAGCGGAATGAACTGCCAACTTATCCAGCACATGTTTTACACAGCGGATGCCCTTCCAGCTGCAACCCATCTCTGGGAAACACACACACACAGACTCATAAACTACGGTCAAATTTTTTGCATACCCAATTTACCTATACCATATGTGTTTGGACTTGTGGGGAAAACTGGAGCACCCAAAGGAAACCCACAAGAACACAGGGAGAACATGCAAACTCCACAGAGAAAAGCCAACTGACAGCCGAGGCTTGAACCAGCAACCTTCTTGCTGTGAGACGAATGTGCTACCCACTGCACCAGCGTGTCACCCCTAGTTGACATTTTGTAAATTGTCTTTTTTATTTAAATGTATAATCTTTCTAATCCTAAAGATGTTCATTTACTAAACTCTTATTTTAATGACTATAACTAATTATTAACCTGTTTTGATCAAATGCAAAAAAAAACTACTACTTTGTATTCACTGAGAAATGCATTACAATATTCATTTATAAAACGGGGTGTACTCATCTATGCTGAGCACTGTTTATAGGCTATAAAATAAGGTCTGTAATATAGTCTGCCAGTTCATTAGCAGGTTTTTGTGATGTAATTTACAACACTAACCCAGACAATACATCACTGCAAACTATTAAACATGTCAATACAAAACAATTTTTCAGTCTTTTCTACATCAAAAGATCTCACAATGCAACTCAAAAGCAGAAAAAAAGAAAAAACTGTTAATTTACAGATATTTTCACAGTGAGGATTAAATGTTTTACCGTGTTGTGTGTAAATTACTTACCAGAGGTGTTAAAGTGTGTTGAAGATGAGAGAAATGAGAGCTGGAGCTTTACTGTCTCTTCTTATACACTGATAGAGGGAGGCGCGAATGAAAATTACTTTTTACCACAGTTTCTTTATTCACTTCCTCCTTTAATCAGATCTCAGAAATAACAATCGCCTGCCCTCCACATCTAGATTACTTCCAACACAGAAAGGAGTTTTGGAGGATAAAAAAATAACAATATAGAGCTTTATTTTATTAATATACATAGTTGTTGTTGTTGTTGTGTATTCAAATGTTTCCTGTTTAATTTTAATGAGCGAAAAAATAATGATGATTAATTTAAGACACCACTCTAAAATTTCCTTCAGCTTAGTCTCTTTATTAATCTGGGGTCGCCACAGCAGAATGAACCACCAACTTATCCAGCATATGTTTTTAACAGCGGATGCCCTTCCAGCTGCAACCCAGTACTGGGAAACACCCATAGAGTCTCAAATGCACACTCATACACTACGGCTAATTTAGCTTGTTCAGTTCACTTATAGCGCATGTGTTTGGACTGTGGGGGAAACCGGAGCACCTGAAGGAAACACACACCAACATGGGGAGAACCTACAAACTCCACACAGACATGCAAACTGACCTTCTTGCTGCGATCCAACAGTGCTACTAGGACTACCCTGTCATCCCCACCCCTCTAAAACTTAATTTAGTTTGTTCAGGTAAAAATACCTGATTTATTTGATTTAACTATTAACTAAATAAGACTAAATCTAATAACTTCCATATTACTAGACTATTTTTTTTTTCTGAATTATTGTGGTTGTTAAAGTGAATGTGCTTTTCTGGACCAGAACACAGACTTTGACATTAGAGGCACTGAAACATCATCTACAATGCTTATTAATATTATATAGATTGAATCATTAGTTTCAAGATCTTACGTGACAATATTAATAAAGACTGAACACTACCCAAATCCATTTATCTGTCATACATGTTTGTGTGTGTGTTTGTGCGTGTTTATGGGAAACAGTTTTTTATAAGTTTTAATGTTATAAAAGTATGGAAGAGTCTCCTTATGCCGCCTAGTGGAGCAGATGGAAAAGTGCACTACATTTTAACTGTGTGCTCCACTTGGCGGCATGATAAGAAAACTTTTTTCATACTTTCATAACATGACAACATGCAGACAGATTTAATTACAGATAATGCTACACAAAAAATATCTTACATAATCATTTACTGCTTACAATCATGGATTGAATGAAACTAAAAACACATTTACAGTAGATGATGATAATAATGATCAATGGACATGACGTTTTAGTGTCTGTGTTCGGGTCCAGAAAGTGACTCCAGTTGTTGTTTTTTGCATATGACATTTTTAATGCAAGTAAAGTGTCAACTTTAATGTTTTAATCATCCTTTGATCAAATAAAATGGCAAAAATGAAATAATGTTCCCCCCTTAGTCAGAGAAGTTTTGTAACTAGATCATTCTGTCCAGAATTAATAAATAACTTGATGGAATAAATAATGGGTGGCTCAGTGGTTAGCATTATGGCCTCACAGCAAATAAGTCATTGGTTCAAGTCCCGGCTGAGTTGGCATTTCTGTGTGGAGTTTGCATGTTCTCCTCGTGTTGGTGTGGGTTTCCTCCGGGTGCTCTGAATTCCCCCACAGTCAAAACACATGTGCTATTGGGGAATTGATGGACTAAATTGGCCGTAGTGTATGAGTGTGTGTGTGTGTGTGTGTGTGTGTGTGTGTGTGTGTGTGTGTGTGTGTGTGTGTGTGTGTGTGTGTGTGTGTGTGTGTGTGTGTGTGGGTGTGTGGGTGTTTCCCAGTACTCATGGCAGATGGAAGGGCATCCGCTGTTTAAATCATATGCTGGAATAGTTGGCGGTTCATTCCACTTCGATGACCTCTGAAACAGAAACTAAGCTGAAGGAAAATGAATTAATTAATTGATAAATATACTGAACTATATGTTAGATTTAGATTAAAATTTAATTGTATTTAATTCATGGTATTGAATAATTTAATAATTTAAATATTTACCTACTCACATTTGAAGGAGAGTGCACAGTAGGTGCTGGTCATGTAATTAGGATATCTTCAAAAAGTGGATTTATTTCACTAATTCCATTCAAGAAGTGAGACTTAATTATGTATTTATTTATTCCTCACAGGCTGATATATTTCATGATATATTTATTTTCATTTTGATGATTTTGATGAAAACCCCAAATTCAGGTTCTCAGTATTGAACACAGCTGATGCCACACTCTAATCAGCTCATTAACACCTGCAAAGGCCTTTAAATGGCTCTCAGTCTAGGGAAATAATCCCATTTTGAAGATGTTCTAGTTATATGTCCAGCATCTGTGTATATATTTATTTCAGATATTTGACAATTAAATAGTATTTTAGAGCAACTCTCTTTTACTTAACTGGCAATCAAATGATCTTTGATCTAAACATGTCTTTTGTATATAAAGTATAGTTGTTCTGAATGACATTTTAGAGGGAGGGAATGATCGTCATTATTTTATGCTCATAAATTCTTTTATTAAACAAGACACATGTTTAATATACAACGAAGACGAATATGTAATGTATATAAATAAAACAAAATAAAGCTCTGATATGCTTTTTTGTTTTTATCCTCCAAAACCCCTCATTGTCTTGTCAGTAATCTAGATGTGGAGGGCAGGCCATTGTTATTTCTGAGATGATTAAAAGAGGAAGGGGTGGGAAAAACTGGTAAAATCATTTTCATTCGCGCCTCCCTTTATCAGTGTAAAAGAGAGACGGTAAAGCTCCAGCTCTCATTTCTCTCATCTTCAACACACTTTAACACCTCTGGTAAGTCATTTACACACAACACAGTAAAACATTTAATCCTCACTGTGAAAATATCTGTAAATTAACAGTTTTTTCTTTATTTCTGCTTTTGAGTCGCATTGTAAAATCTTGATTTTTCCTCCAACAACTTTTAATGTAGAAAAGTTAGGGGGGAAAAAAGGTGACTTTTATTGATAATTAATATTTTGCAGTGATGTATTGTCCGGGTTAGTGTTGTAAATTACATTACAAAAACCTGCTAATAAACTGCCACAACTTTTTCTATTGCTTTTGCAGTCTTAATTCGATATAGCCTATATACAGGGCTCAGCATGAGCACACCTTATTTTGAATTCTGAATGTTTTAGTCCATTTCTCAGTGAATATAGGTGGTGTCATTTTTGCATTTGAACAAAACAGTTTTATAAACGGTTATATTCATTAAAATAAGAGTTTGGTCACTGAACATCTTTAGGATTAGAAAGATTATACATTTAAATTCAAACTAAATATTGAAAAAGAGAATAAAGTTTACAAAATTTCAACTACACTTTATATATTTTTAGCTTCTCTTGATTTTTCTTCTTTTTAAAATCTTTATTTGATATTTTCCTAACTTATATATTTGTGTGTACCAATATTGAGACTGTTGTCATAAGTTTAAGTTATGTTAAACTGAGATTGGCTCCAGATTTGGCTTTGATAATTGACAATTCTAATGTATTTAAAGAAATATAATATTGTAAAGCATCCTATGGAGAATGTTCATTTAAAAGAGAAATTTGTCAGAGGTGTACTCATACAGATGAAGTCAGAATTATTAGCTTCTCAATAAAGTTTTTCCCCCAATTTCTGTTTAACAGAGAGAAGCTTTTTTTCAACACATTTCTAAACATAATAGTTTTAATAACTGATTTATTTTATCTTTGCCATGATGACAGTAAATAATATGTGACTAGATATTTTTCAAGACACTTCTATACAGCTTAAAAGTGACATTTAAAGGCTTAACTAGGTTAATTATGTTAACTAGGCAGGTTAGGGTAATTAGGCAAGTTATTGTATAGCGATGGTTTGTTCTGTAGACTATCAAAAAAAAAATGTAGCTTAAAGGGGCTAATAATATTGACCTTAAAATGGTGTTTAAAAAATAAAAAACTGCTTTTATTTTAGCCGAAATAAAGCAAATAAGACTTTCTCCAGAAGAAAAAATATTATCAGACACACTGTGAAAATTTCCTTGCTCTGTTACACATAATTTGGGAAATATTTTTAAAAAAAAAAAAGAAAAAGATAATCAAAGGGGGGCGAATATTTCTGACTTCCACTGTAAATAGTTGAAGTCAGAATAATCTGCCCTCCAGTGAATTTCTTTCAAATATTTCCTTAATGGTGTTTAGCATTTTGTTTCCTTTAATATTTGTTCTTCTGGAGAAGGTCTTATTTGTTTTATTTCGGCTAGAATGATAGCAGTTTTTAATTTTTACATTTTTAATGCCAATATTATTAGCCCCCTTAAACAATATTTGTTTTATATATACCCAACCCCAAATCAGAAAAAGTTGTGACAGTATGGAAAACGCAAATAAAAAAGAAAGAAGTGATTTATACATTTACTTGTATGTCATTGCACACAGCAAACATTATTCATACAACAAACATTATTTATTGTGCTCCTTGTTTTTTCAGTTTTTAACAAACACATATTCCAATTTTGGTTCTTGCAACACATTTTTAAAAAATTGTATCAGCATTTACCACTTTGCAATGTTCTTTCAACTTTATAATGTCCTTTTCACAAAGACGTTTAGAGACTAAAGACACAAAGTGATGAAGTGTTTCACGTGTAATTTTGTCTCATACTTTTTGCAAACGAGTCTTAAGGTCAGCAACAGTAAGGCTTTTGTTGTCGCATTTTGCACTTCAAAATGCGCCACTGGGCGACACAGTGGCTCAGTGGTTAGCACTGTCATCTCACAGCAAAAAGGTTGTTGATTCAAGTCCAGTTGGCATTTCTGTGTGAAGTTTGCATGTTAGTGTGGGTTTTCTTCAGGTGCTCCGGTTTCCCCCACAGTCCAAACACATGCGCTATAGGGGAATTGATTAACTAAATTGGCCGTAAAACATATGCTGGATAAGTTGGTGGTTCATTCCGCTGTGGTGACCCCCGATGAATAAAGGGACTAATCCAAAGGAAAATGAATGAATGAATGATGCGCCTCACATTCTCTATTGGATACCGGTTAAATGTGTTGCAGGTCTAAATGACAGGAAAGTGCTGTATTGTAGAGATTTTGACACTCTTTTCACATTTATTATATTATTTCTGAAAGAGTTTAGGGACATTAAATGAGTTTACATTAATAGAGCTCTACAGTTTTACACAGAAAATAATTGTGCTTATACAATATTGTCACAAATGTATATGATTTAAAACCTTCATGTGTTTATTTGTGTGTGTGTTTTCTCCTGTAAGGTGAAGTGAGTGTAAATGATGGAAATATCTGTGACGTTCCTCCTCGCTGGATGTCTGATACAAGGTCTCGCTCATATTAACTGTTATTGATTTCTCTTAATAACTACTGACTCTTTTAACGAGATTAAACTTAATTAAACTGAAAGCAGCTTCATCTGAACTGTGAGAGATAAAGGAGAAATAGGAAATGTTTGTGAGTGAGATGTATTCAGCATGTTCACTGTGTTTGATGAGTTACTTTAGTGTTTGTGTTTGTTTCAGGTGTTTTATGTGGCTTCAGTATCAGTCTGCCAGAGAAAGTAGAAGCTCTAGAAGGATCCTGTGTTTTTATACCCTGCACATTCAATATTGATGAAGATTATAAAGATGATCTCACTGATACTGCAAAGAGATTATGGTATAAAGATGGAAAACCTGCAGTTTTGGTGTTTGACTCCAGCAGCCCTGACAGTGGACAGTTAAAAGGAGAAATATTTGGCAAAGCTACAGAGAAAAGGTGCAGCACTCGCTTCGATAATCTCAAACTAACAGACAGTGGCTCATATTACTTGAGATTAGAAGGCAGCGGTAGACTTCAATATAACTACATGAAACCCCAACACTCCTATGTTGAAATTGTGGTCAAAGGTGAGTGTCATTGTTCACGCTGCTTCTGTCCACCTTATTTTTGATGAAAGAGGCTACCAGTGTTTCACTATTACAAAACAGCCTGCTGATGCTTTAACTTGCATTTGCATCTGTGTGTGTGTTTCAGCGTCTCCACCCAATCCCACAGTGCTTCTGTTTCAGGATCAGCAGGAGGTGATGGAGGTGACGGAGGGAAAATCAGTGACTCTGAGCTGCTTTAAGATCTTCTGTCCGTCTCTTCCATCATCTCTCACATGGAGCTCCAGTCCTGAACACCTCATCAATGCAAACATCCCAAAACTGCAGCATCAAAACCAAACACATTACTACTCTGACCTGATGTTCACTGTAACTCATCATCATCACAGAGCTGAATTCACCTGCACTGCAACACAGCAGCAGATCACAACACACAGCACCCGACAGCTACATGTTCAGTGTAAGACAGGAATTACTTCAGTCACAGATGATCTATAAATAATGCTGTCAATTACACTGTAATGATCAATGTTCTCTTCATCAGATGCTCCTAAAAGTGTCTCTGCTCATGTGAGTCCAGCTGGTGTGATTGTGGAGGGTCATTCAGTGACTCTGAGCTGCAGCAGTGAAGCAAACCCAGCAGTCAAATACAGCTGGTACAAACACACTGAAGGAGACCTGAAACCCCCAACTGGACCAAACCTGACCATCATCAACATCAACCGTTCTCACAGTGGACGATACTACTGTAGAGCTGGAAACCAACACGGGACTCAGAACACATCAGTGCTGCTGGACGTCCAGTGTAAGTATTAAGTCTCATTACTGTGTTGATCACAATGTTATATCATTAAAAATCACAATATGCTGAATACATATGACCTGAATTATTTTCTCTTCCATTAGATCCTCCAGAAAAACCCTCTGTTCATAAATACGATGTGATTGTGGAGGGTCATTCAGTGACTCTGAGCTGCAGCAGTGAAGCAAACCCAGCAGCGAACTACAGCTGGTACAGACACACTGAAGGAGACCTTGAACCACTGACCGGACCAAACCTGACCATCAGCAACATCAACCGGTCTCACAGTGAACGATATTACTGTAAAGCTGAAAACCAACACGGGACTCAGAACACATCAGTGCTGCTGGACGTCCAGTGTAAGTATTAGGTAGTGTTGTTGTCTGTGTAGGGTCAAGCCAGTTGGTCCAATGACGGTATCCACTGGTGGATGAAGGTTCACTGCATGTTCGGTCTTTCCAGTGCACAATGTTGATTTATATTAAACTTAGCTCATATCTGACTCCAATTTTAGTATGAGGTGGTTTAGAATATTCATATATTTATCCTCGTTTTATCTGACTCCAATTATAAAACATTGAGAAGGTTATTTTGTTTCCGTTCACATTATTTTAGATTATGATTGAATATTCTCTTCGGTTCATCATTTTATGTTATTCTCGTTCATTGGGATTCCTATAACATCCTGAATCTTGTACCGGCCGAGTATACAATTTCTTAAGCACAAGCATGTCAGTCTTGCTTAAGTCTTGCATGTCTATCCTAAAAAGGCAGAACCCTACTTACTCAGATTAGGATATTTTTTATGCGGTCCCCATAGGTCTGCTACCTCCTAAATCAAACAGAGCTATTTAGTCATATAATGATCATTACTATAGAATTAAGCAGACCAGTCGTACTTAAACTATTAGTAACTTTGAATAATCACTATACTATCTAAATAGTATTATAAGTTTATCAGGTGAAGGACTATTCCCTTAGATATCCTTTTACAGCCTAAGTATACATGAATTAATGCCAATGTGTTAGTCGGAGCTCTAGAGACATTGTGTAGCGTGCCGCAATGCTCCATCTACCGTGTTCTAGTCCGCTACCAACCTGAACAGGGGCTTGTGGTGCTATGAAATTACCCCAATCTACTAGAGATAATAACACGAACTCTGTTTGAATAATTCAAAACATAACAATTTATTAGTCAGGTAAATGTATTATGCCAAATTCAATCAGTCAATTCATAAACGATCAATACAAAACATCAAATTATCAAAGGCAAATCCAAGATGAAAAAGATGCATTCCTGACTTAAAAAATATACATAACATGGAGCAAGCCATGTTATGGGCTGATCTGGTTAGGCAGAATCGCGCCGAGCCTTTCTCAAACCTTACCTTAAATAATCCAAGAATTCCCTCAAGGAAGGGGGTGTGTGCATAACAGAAGGCATTCACACTTAGTGGAAAAGTCACACCCTTCACAGTGGTTCAAAAGATGCCTGAAGTTATATATTTATTGTGTTGATTATGTCTGTTTCTGAGAGAATGAGACCATTGTACCAATCGCACTGAGACATTTCAAATGATATCAAACATGATAGTTAAAGTCAGTTTGGTTAATCTAGAACATTCAAACATTGAAATGACCATATGCTTGAGTTGGGGTGGTTGAAGCCGAGTTTCAGCAGACTCAGATGCAAATACAGCAGGAACTGGTTTTTCCCGCATTCCCACCTGCTGGGTTGTGAAGTCAATTGGCCCTGTTTTCAGCTCATGTTTTGAATTGTCAAAGACATCAAAAATATTTGTAATATTTCAATTCTTACATCTGTAATATATTTTTTACTGATAATCATGATACTACACACAGTGTCATTCACTGTACTCTGCTGGACCCGATTTGGGAGTCATTGACAAATTAAAGATAGTCTATTTCTGATTGAATGTTAAACCTAGGAAATAATGCTTTTTTTATAAATAATGTGCAAAATAGTAAAGCTGTTCTCTTCATCAGATGCTCCTAAAAGTGTCTCTGCTCATGTGAGTCCAGCTGGTGTGATTGTGGAGGGTCATTCAGTGACTCTGAGCTGCAGCAGTGAAGCAAACCCAGCAGTCAAATACAGCTGGTACAGACACACTGAAGGAGACCTGGAACCACCGACTGGACCAAACCTGATCATCAGCAACATCAACTTTACCGAACTAAACCTGACCATAAGCAACACAAATGTGACCGAACCAAACCTGACATTGAGCTACTTCGATCTGTCTGGACCAAACCTGACCATCAGCAATGTGAACCCGGCCCACAGTGGACGATACTACTGTAGAGCTGAAAACCAACACGGCGCTCAGAACACATCAGTGCTGCTGGACGTCCAGTGTGAGTATTAAGAGTCTTTACTGGTATATGAGTTCTTGATACTCTTCTAAGTATATAGTGTAAGTATCATCACTTGATTCAACTGATACAAAACACTAATGGTAATATTAGACTTGTAGATTTAGTAACTGAGACTCATCATATCATTTATTTACTGCTGCTCTCTGATGATTTGAAGTGCTTCTTTTATCCTCACTCGTAGGTCACTTTAGTTAAAATATTCTGATATATCAGTTGCAAAAAGCATGACACAATAAAGAAATGTTCAGAAAAGGCTGATAATTGCTGACAGTTCGCTGTGGTTAAGTTGTAATAAGCTATGAAGTAGGCGTAGTACAGTGTCATACAGTTTAGCATAGGTGTGTCTTCATTTACAGAAAATGCAGATGGAAAAACAGCAGCTTTCTGTGTAAAATAGCACTAAAGTGTGAGAATCACACGCTTTATAGTAAAACATGCAATTGCTAAAGACAAAGCAATGTGTAAAAATAATGCTAACATGATTTACAAGTGTGCACTGAAAAAAAGGTGTAGAAACTGTTCACAAGTAAATCTCACAGACAAAAAATGACAAGGGTTTGTAATACACTGAATTACTTGGAGATTTCGCAGTAGAAAAGCTTATTTTAAATGTGAAAATCTGCTTTTATTACCACAATAGTGAGTGTTCCTCTTTGTACTTCTGCAGATTTTCTTTTATTTTGTCACAAACACTGAAAAAATAAATCTTATTCAATAATTTTGTGCTGTTATTCAGCACAAAATGTAAAAAATTGGTAAATCAGGATACAGCACACACTAGACAAACAAAATGCTGTAAGATGTTCAGTTTTCTGAAACATTAATCTGAATTAAGTGAGTTTCTGCTTTTAATATCTGCAAAAGAGATCTTGTTTTAAAGTTTCTAATTAGTTTATTGTAATGACTCCATTGACAGATAGTTTGTTTTGAGCTTTAAGCTGAATCTACGTTTACCTTTAATGAATATATCAATAAACAGGGCTTAATATCTAAAAGCAATAGTTCAAAAATACTAAAATAAAAATCACCATTTACTCAGCCTTTACTTGTTTTTGAGAGTCTAATAAAAACGCTGCCATGCATTGACTTCCATTGTATTTGTTTTTACCTGCCATGAAAGTCAATGCTTGGAGATTTCCAACATTCTTAGAAATATCTTCTGTTTTGTTCAACAGAAGAAAGAAACTCATAAAAGTTTGTGACGAGTGAAGGAAGAGTATTCTCATTGGCAAATTGTTTGTTTTTAGCTTTGAGCACAATCTACTTATAATTTTAATGGATTACTTTAAACAGGTCTTAATATCTTAAAGGAATAGTTCAGCTAATAATGGAAATCATCATTTCAATCATCCACTCACACTTTACTTGTTTTTGAGATTCTTTCTTCTGTTGAACAGAAAAGGAGATATTTTGAAAAATGCTGGCACCCATTGACTCCCATAGTATTTGTTTTCGCCTGCTATGGAAGTCAATGATTAAAGGTTTCCAGCATTCTTAGAAATATCTTCTTTTTGTTTAACACATTGTTTTGATTTTACATTTGGATACATGATCAGTTTAATTTTGCTTAATAGTGTAAATGCACCTTCATTTAACAACGTGTAGATATTTTAACTTTAAAAAGAGACAGCAAAGGATCAAATACACATGCTCATCACCGACTTTTTTCTTTCAGTTCCACCCAAAATCTCTAGCTCTTGTAGCCAAAACGACACACTCATCTGTGTCTGTAAGGTTGACGGGAATCCTCTGCCTAAACTACAGTGGCGTCTGTCTGGAAAAGTTCTCAATTCCACTGAAGAAATGCAGATAAGTGAGCAAACTATAGGAAACAAGAGCTTGGAGAGCATCCTGAGCATCCGTCAGTCTCTCTCAGACTCATCAGTCCTGCAGTGTTGGACTGCAAACGCTCACGGATCCGCCAGCCACCAGTTTCAGCACATCACAACAACACCACACACAGGTCAGATTCACTAATGAATGAACATTGTCATTTAGGGGCATCTAGGGGGGAACCTATTATGCACCTTTTTACAAGATGAAAAATAAGTAGCAGATGTCTTTGAAGTTTCCGTTCAAAATATCTCACAGATATTGTTTTAAACTCTCTGAAACGGACCCATTTAGGCTTTGATCCTATTGTGCTGTTTTGGTGACTATCGCTTTAAATTCAAATGAGATTGAGCTCTTTTCAAAAGAGGGCGGAGCTACAAATGCCTGTGCATCAGCATAGTGGCAAATTCAAAAACAAGACTAATGTCCTATGCTAATAAATGCGAGATGGTCACTAGTGGGCGGGGCTTTTTCCCTCTGATGACACGTACAAAGGGAGAATGTCAATCAAAGTGTTTCAGCAGAACATCAAGTGTGATTATAGACAAATAAAATTAATACATTTTTACCATTAGAAGCTGGCTATATTCACACACTGCTGCCACATAACTGTGTTTACAACCCTAATAAATGTCATTTTTGCATAATAGACCCCCTTTAAAGAGAGCTGACAGTTAATTTAGCTCAATTAAGTACACATCTAAAAATGTTTGAACTGTTTGTGATGCATACTGTTTAATCCAGCACATTTAAAGCACTTTTAATTGTAGTGTTTTAATGGTTATTGCAGTGTAACCACATTTAATATCATACAGGAGACTATAAATTTTATCTTATCCTTGATCTGATACCTATACGACTTGTTTATGAGTGTCTGATTGCATTTCTACAATACGTTTGTAGTTTCATTAAATGATGCCTTTAATTTAGAGATGAAACCTGGTGTTGAGTTAGCTGTTTTTGGTGTACCAGAACACAAGATATCGTTGACCAACAAGGAAAAAAATGCTGTCGCCTTCGCTACTTTGTTAGCAAAGAGAAGAATACTACTTGAGTGGAAATCAGCAGCTTCACCTAAAGCTTCAATGTGGATGTAGGATCTGATTTTACATCTGAAATTAGAGAAAATTAATATTTAATGAAGAGATCTGTCCTAAAGGTTTTGAGACATGGCAACCTATGATCACATATTTTAAAAAAAGGAAGACTCTCTTCTTTATCTGATTTATATAAAGAAATCTGTGCAAACAGGTTTAATTGTGACCACCAATATGGTTTGGTTTCATATTTATGTAAAAGACCACTATAAATAAATCAGATTATTGTATTATTTGTATTATCATGTACTGTAGGTAATTATTTATTTGAATTATTTTTAATTATTATTATTATTTTATTTATTTGTTATTAGTATTAATATTTTACATTTTGCTATATTTATATATATATATATATATATATATATATATATATATATATATATATATATATATATATATATATATATATATATATATATATTAATATTTGTCTGCCCTCATCCACATTTCTGTTCCTTCTCGGACCCTGCGATCTTCTTCCTCCCTCCACTTGTCTGTTCCCTCTTCTCGCCTTTCAGCAATGGGCAACAGAGCATTCAGCCGCTCTGCTCCGCGGCTTTGGAACTCATTACCACCTGCCATTAGAAGCATTGACTCCCTTACATTGTTCAAATCAAAACTCAAAACCCACTTATTTAAGATGGCTTTTAATACTTAATTTTATTTGCGCTGTTGCTGTGTATATTTTAATATTTCTCTTGTTGTTTTATTATTCTTGTTGATTGTACGGTGTCCTTGAGTTGCTAGAAAGGCGCCTTTAAATAAAATGTATTATTATTATTTATTTATTTTTTTGTCTATTCCTGTTGCGATTGTCTTTTAAACTTTATTGTTTGCAAGTAATTTGCAAGGATTACAGCCTTGATTGTACAAAAGTTTGTAGTTTCCACATGAGGTTGTGTATGAATGTGTTGACCTCTGACCTCTGTTTTCCAGGTCTCCATCCTGCATATGTACTGCTGGGATTCGCTGTAGGAGCATCACTCGTCCTGATCTTCTGTGTTCTGACCGTCTGCAATGAACGGTGAGTAAATCACACAAACCAATGGAAAGACAAGAAAACACAATCACTAAACAGCTGCAATATACACTGAGCTGAAACTACAGCTGTCATTATATACAGTTCAGTGAAAGAACATTTCTCAGAAGATTTCAATGGCGTTTTTTGTATTGTGAAATGCACTCTTAAAGCACAAAATGCACAAAGGGCTGAAATTAAATTGGCTTTAAGTTGTACATAATCACAGGCTCTTAACTTTCACTTTGTGTGGTTTATTCATAAACTAATTTCGAGAGGATCACGTGCTTATAATCAACACGGCTGGCTCCTTGTTAGCTCCGTAATCAGCCCTATTAGATGATTATGGAAGCATTATAAATAACCTGAGTTTTCCACTCCAGTTATCTTCGTCTTGAAGCTCCCCCCCTTTCCACCCCTTCATCCTCCTCCTTTTTCTGATGGGGCGACACGGTGGCCCAGTGGCTAGCACTGTTGCCTCACAGCAAGAACACCGCTAGTCCAACCCATCGGGCTGGTTGGTGTTTCTGTGTGGAGTTTGCATGTTCTCCCCGTGTTCGCGTGGGTTTTCCCCGGGTTCCCCGGTTTCCTCCCACCGTCCAAAAACATAAACCCTAGCCAATCGACTAAAACAAATTATCACCCAATACAACCTTAGTTCACACTTCTCACGGTGACAAGCAAGGGAGTTCTCGAGACCTACCTGACCTCGAACTCCCCTCTCGCCCTTCTAATGGGAGGGAGCCCCGGGCTCGAGGATATTACGAGCTCAGGGCTCTCTCCCGGGACAGCATGCCAAATATGCTTCATTGATTATCAGCTAAGTGTGAACTCTTGAAATTAGGGTTAAACTTTGCATGTGCTCTGCTTTCTGGTTAATTATAATCCAAATCAACATTGCATTGATGTGCTAACATGTTATGTCATTATTGTAGATTCGCACATTGTGATATCAATGCTGAAATCATATATTGTGCAGCCCAAAATGTAATGATGTGCACCTTATTGTGAACAACTTGAATTGATTTGTGATTCTGATGGTG